AAATACAGCCATAAAATTTCAAAAAGAGGTCAAGGTGACCTACTTTTCAGTTGTCATACTCCAAGGACCCAAGATGCATCAACTGACAAAGTTTGATGATTCTAAGCCAATTAGTACTTGAAATATTTGATTAAAGCCATAAATTTTCAAAAGTAGGTCTCGGTGACCTACTTTTCACTCAACTGACAAAGTTTGATGATTCTAAGCCAATTCATACCAGAAATATTTAATTATAGTCATATAAATTGAAAAGTAGGTCACAGTGACCTACTTTTCAGTGGACTTACTCCGAGGACCCAAGATACATCAACTGACAAATTTTGATGATTCTAAGCCATATAGTACCTTTAATATATAAATATAGCCATAAAATTTCAAAAGTAGGTCACAGTGACCTACTTTTCAGTTGACGTTTTTTTGAGGACCCAAGATGCATCAACTTACAAAGTTTTATGATCATAGGCCTTAAAATGTCCAAATTATGCCTTTAAAATACTTTGAAATCAAATGACTGCAAAGTTAAAAAAGTAGGTCAATGTGACCTACTTTTTAATAAATATGTTTTTTGGCCCCAAGATGCATCATCTTACAAGATTTAATGATTCTAAACCTCTCAGTATTCGAATTAATGACCTTAATTGTTTTGAAAAAGATTAGCCATAAAATTCAAAAAGTAGGTCAAGGTGACCTACTTTTTAGTACTCCGAGGACCCAAGGTACATCAACTGACAAAGTTTGATGATCATAGGCCTTAAATTGTTCAAAATATGCCTCTGAATCATTTTGAAAAAGAATGGCCGCAAAATTTAAAAAGTACGTCACCGTGACTTACTTTTGAGTCAACATGATATGAGGTCCTTAGATGCATCAACTGACAAGAAGATTTCATGATCCTAGTCCTTACAGTAAGCAAAATATCAACATTGTAATAAAATGTAATTTTTGGTCAACTTTGAAGTGACCTTGAGACCACACCCTTTGCTCCAGGGTGATGCCTTGAACAATTTTTAATCTACAACATATCCTCATCCTTTTGTGTAAGTTTGGTAATAATCTGCCCAGTGGTTCTTGAGAAGATTTTTAGCAACCAGTATTTTTGTTTCTATTTTCCTAATTATCTCCCCTTGTTTAAGGGTCACAGCCCTAGTTTTGTACAAGCGGGAGCCCTTAGGCCAAAGATACCCTGAGACAAATTTGACAATAATTGGCCAAGGGGTTCTTGAGTTACGGCCCATATTCTAAAAAGTTTACTCACACTGCACAAATGGCCAATAAGCATTAGCTCTTCGAGCCTTTGGCTCAGAAGAGCTAATAATTTAGAATCTATGCTTCCACATAAGATTCAGCTATTCAGGCCCAGCGGTTCTTGAGGAGATTTTTTTTATATATTTCAATGTAAAAATTGGATTCCCTATTTTGGCCTCGTCCTACCCCCCGGGGGTCATGATTTGAACAATTTAGAATCTATACTACCACAGAATGCTTCCATATAAATTTCAGCTATTCTGGCCCAGTGATCCTTGAGGAGAAGATTTTAAAAATTCACAGTTCCTATATAATCAACGTAAAAATTGGATTCTCTATTGTGGCCCTGCCCTACATCGGAGGTCATGATTTGAACAGTTTAGAATCTACACTACCCCCACGATGCTTCCACATAAGTTTTAGCTTTTCTGGCCTAGTGGTTCTTAAGAAGTATATTTTTTCTATATATTTCAATGTAAAAATTGGATTCCCTATTGTGACCCCACCCTACTCCCAGGGGTCATGATTTGAACAATTTAGAATCTACACTACCCAAGGGCTTCCACATTAGTTTCATCTTTTCTGGTCCAATGGTACTTGAGAAGAAGATTTTTTTAATGACACCACCTTTTTTGTCTTTTCTTGATTATCTACCCTTGTAAGGGGGCTTGGTCCTTCATTTTAACAATTTAAACTCTCCTTCACCCAAGAATGCTGTGTACCAAGTTTGGTTAAAATTGGCCCAGTGGTACTTGAGAAGAAGTTGAAAATTTGAAGAAAAGTTTACAGATGGATGGACAGACAACAGACAAAGGGTGATCAGAAAAGCTCACTTGAGCTTTCAGCTCAGGTGAGCTAAAACCCAGTTAAATGCAAAATTAGGAAAAATAGGGTCAAGTTCATAGGAAATGTCATATAGGGTCAAGTTCATACCATATGTCAAGGTCAGAAAATATAGCTTTCCCTTAATATATATCAGTATAAGATTTTTGATAAAAATACAATGTATCTACAATAGTTGCTTTGAGACTGAGCTAAACATTAAAACATAGGTTATCAGAGATTACAGAGCTCACCTCAACAAATGTTGTCTTTAAGTAAGGCAAAGTCCCACACTAAACTAATAATCTAGGAGTGTGCATCCCTAGATGCAACATCTATGCAATTTTGGTCTGATAGGGCTTGCAGTTACTTGGGAATAGACTTATCTGAAAACTTAAAACTAGTCACTCATTCAGAAAATGTAAGTCAAATCCAGCATCCAAAGCAAGTTTTGAGATTGTTCATCCCTTGATGCAATTTTGGTTCAGATAAGCCTTATAGTTACTAGGAAATGACATCTGCTCCAAAATCTTTAATCTGGTTACTCATCTGGAAAATGTAGGTCAGATCCAGCATCCGAAGCAAGTCCAGTAGTGTGCATCCTTAGATGTATCATCCATGCAAGTTTAGTCAATATAGGGCTTATAGTTACTTGGAAATGACATCTGCTCCAAAAACTTTAACCTGGTTACTCATTCGGAAAATGTAGGTCAGATCCAGCATCCGAAGCAAATCCAGTAGTGTACATCCTTATATGTATCATCCATGCAAGATTGGTCAATATAGGGTTTATAGATACTTGGAAATGACATCTGCTCCAAAAACTTTAACCTGGTCACTCCTCCGGAAAATATAGGTCAGATTCAGCATCTGAAGCAAGTCCAGTAGTGTGCATCCTTAAATGTATCATCCATGCAAGTTTGGTCAATATAGGGCTTTTATTTACTTGGAAATGAGATCTGCTCCAAAAACCTCAACCTGGTCACTCATCCAGAAAATATAGGTCAGATCCAGCATCTTAAGCAAGTTCAGTAGTGTGCATCCTTAGATGTATCATCCATGCAAGTTTGGTCAATATAGGGCTTAAAGTTACTTGGAAATGAGATCTACTCCAAAAATCTTAACCTGGTTACTCATCCAGAAAATGTAGGTCAGATCCAGCATCCGAAGCAAGTTCAGTAGTGTGCATCCTTAGATGTATCATCCATGCAAGTTTGGTCAATATAGGGCTTATAGTTACTTGGAAATGAGACCTGCTCCAAAAACTTTAACCTGCTCCAAAAACATTAACCTGGTCATTCTTTAGCTGAAATTGCAGCATCTGAAACCTTGACTGGTACAATGAAACACACTAGAAGCATCCTCCATGCATCTCTGACTAATATAGGCCATAGAAGTACTTGAAAAGAAAACTGCTCCAAAAACCTTAACCTGGGACGCCGACGCCGACACCGACGGTATTACATAAGCTCCCCAAACTTCGTTGAGGTGAGCTAAAAATAGTGAGGACAAGGTCACAGGGAAAGTCAATGCCTAAAAATAATGAACAATTGAAAAGTTCTCACTGTCCAAATATGTATCCATGTACATGTTCTGATAAAAAATATCTTGAATAGTTACTTTGAAACAGAGCTCAACCAAAATTAGGAAATAGTGAGGTCAATGGGGAGGTTAAGATCAGAAAAGTATGCCACAGTTCTCACCAATATGTAGCAGCTAGGTATGAATTTTGGTTAACATATCTTGAACACTTTCTCTGAAATTGAGCAAACTGCAAAGTGTAAAAGACAGACAAAAGGGAAGACAGAAGAATGGAAGACAGAATTAATTAATAAAAACCTCAAATTAAACACAATGTACATTGGAATGCTTTATTTATTTTTTTTTCATGATATTTTATCATACAAACAAGTTTACAAGCAGATAATGAGCATTTTTACAAAGTTTTTCTTATCATAAATCATAAAAGTGAAAGTTAAGTTACTGCCCTCAAAGAATAATGTATACATGTATATACATAATGTACACAACAAAGCAATGGGAACTATCATGTTGACTACTACCTGGTAGTCAAATCAAAAGATTGATCAATAGCTTACAACAATTCTGACTCTTTGACATGTAAAGGAAGAAATTATTCAAGATGAATTATAATTAATAATATATAGATGATTCATTATAAGATGAATTATAATTTGTTATATTTTGGTGATCAAGCAGAGGTCACTAATTAACTCCCTTCATACTCATAAAAATTTCACTTAACATTTTGTAACTACAATGCACATATAAACTTACAAATATTGCCATGGAGAGAAAGTTCCAGGCCGACAAGTTTAGAATAAAAAAAATTATATAGAATATTAAATAGCATTCTTTGATGATGAAATTAATGATGCATGACTTTTAAAATATGATGCATGTGTATACAGGTAATCTGTGACAATTTAAGGACATACTCATGCACACTCACAATTTATTTGCTGTTGATGGTATGCTATAACTACAATCATTCTTAACATAACCATTCTCATTCAAATTGAAATCTCATGAAAATTTTGTATGTTTGAAACATGTTTATTTATAAAAATGTTGACACCTCTTGGAAAAAAAATCTGAGCACAATCTTCCCAACATTTTTCAACATTTTCAAACCCAAACAATCCAGTTAATGAAATGTTTACTGCCATTTCTTATCTCACCTTTTAAGCAATAACTTTGCTTCCACTAGTTATACATCCCTATGTAAAAACAATATTTCCAAAAAAAAGAAAAAAAAATCAAAATTGGGCCATCATTAAATTTTTTTTTTTTGATGTACTTCGACATATATTTTTAAAGGTAGGTTTTTATTTTTTTTTTTTTTTTTTCATTTTTGGAATTATCTAACATGTAAAATGCAGCAAAACAACAAAGAAGACATAATGAAACTTAAAGTTTAAAAGCAAGTTGGACAATCTATATTTTCCCAGAAACAATTTTTTTTAAAGTTCAAATATTGAAAAAAAATGACTGGGTAGGGGTAATTTTGATGAGTCAGTCAAAGTATATCAGACAAAACATTTTTCATTGTTGGCCTTCGAGTAGGACTAATAAAAATGTAGCTTGAACAAGATGACAGTTGGATATTTTTGTACAAATAAGGGATTATTAAAATTATCACAGCATTGTAAACTCTAAAAGACAAAAAGATTACTGGTCCTTCTATATAGTGCTTGGTCCTGGATGGGCAAACAAGATGTCTGACTTCTTGTTCAAAAAGTAGATTAGCACCATGGAAACCAAAGTCAGAATTACTCCCCCTGACAAAATGGAGGTCTGTTTAAAAAAAAAAAAAGAATATTCATATTTATTTCAAGTTACGCATTGCTAACATAGAGCAGAAATATTATACAGACAAAAAAAAAACGAGGCCTAGCTTATAGGAAACAAAATTCGTTTGATTCACCATTCTGTTACATGTACTAAAAAATCTCATAAAATTAGGAAGTGCTTTCCGCAAAATATATATCTAACTAAATAAAGTTAAATTCTAATACAACCACTTCATTCTATAGAATCTTTACTAATCAAGTACCCTAATTTTAGAAAGATCTTATCTTCAAGGTATGCTAAAATTGAAAGTTTTTCTTTGAATATCGATTAGATTACCATGGTATATATAGAGGAAATTCAGAGAAAATGGGCAATATTTGCCACATGCTGCAATAATCTAGCTCTCTCCTTTTTTGAAGGGGGTGGGGTTGGAGGGTTGGAAGATCTCTGTATTCAGTAAGTTGTGAATAGAGCCCTATATTGTAAAATCTCACCATCTTTATACAGAGGGTGTGTGGGATTTTTTTTAATTTATGGCTTCATTCACAACTCAATAAAATTTCAGTTGCCTGTGACTAATCCCAAAATATAATGAATAGTCCATATATTTGGTTTTTTTCCCATGTATGTCAACATCAGAACTAGAATTTATCTACCATATTTACTAACCTTGATCACTTTTACTTTGGGACAGACTATGAGAATTTTCCAGAGCTATGGAATGAATATAGGACCACAGCATCTTATTCGAAGAAAGATGAATCAAAATGCAAATTATTTTGCCAGAAGTTAGCTTATTAAAAATATTTCTGTGTGATGGACAGACAGATGGAAGGACAGACAGACATGACATATACATATATGGCCATATGGAGAGAGCTACATCATTACAGCTGTGTTTGCCACCAAAAGGAATCATTTTATTTGCCTGAAATAGCTACTTTTACACATATTTTAATATTTGGCAAGCATGCAGAATGAAACCCTTTAACAAGCTGCAATGGAATAGAAAATCAGAGCACTGATCTGATGCTACACGAATGCTTTATCACTCTATCATGTCTATATAGGCAAAAAATATTTCAAAATTCATGATATCAAACTGCACAAATATTTAATATTTGTAGCATTGAAATTCATGTCATATTTTATAACATTACCAATTTAATTACATTATTACTCAAAATTCATCATCAAAATTGGGGGGAAAAAGGTGCACTTTGTGCCACATTCTCATGTCATGTTTTATGAACAATTACCTAATATATAAGTATTTAATTATGCTGCAACTAGATAAAGCAATCATAAAATAATTTTTTTTTTAAAAAACACAAGGCCCAAGGGCAACAATGCTCACGTGAGTCACACTAACTCTGCTGTTCTTCATCACAAGATTAAAAAAATTCCATTTTTATTCACATGAAAAACTCTTAACCCATATTGTGTCCCCACCCTAGCCCCAAAGGGCATGACATAACCTAACTTGAATCAACTTATCCTGGGGATGCTTCAAAATCTTTATGACTAACATGGTCTTGCTGTTCTGCAGGGGAAGTATACTAGCTTGCACTAGATGAAAACTGTTCCCTGATTTTAGCCCTACTCTAACCCTAGGATCTATTATCTGATGAAAAAAATTGAATCCATACAACTTTGGATTGTTTCCATATAAATGTCATTTAGTGTGACCCTACTATTTTTTAAAAGAATGTTTAAAAAATAATATCCTTATTTTCCTTCTGAAATATTGATCCCCACTTTGTGGCCCCACCTCACCCCCAGGCACCATGACTTGAACAATCTTGAATCTGCATTACATGTGCATGCTTGCATCTAATATCACCAATCATTGTGCTACTGTTCTTGAAAAGATTTTAAAACATTTTCCCTATATATTCCCATGTAAAACTTCAATCAGCCTACCCCAAAGTCCCATGATTTGAACAAACTTGAATCTGCACTAAGAATGATTATTTCTAAATATTACTAATTATAGCTCTACTTTCTTAAAAGGGTTTAAAACATTTTCCCCTTATATTTCCATGTAAAACTTTGATCTATTGTGGCCCTGCCCTACCCCATGGGGCCATGATTTGTAAAAACTCAAATTTGCTTTATGTCAGGAAGCTTCCACATAAGTTTCATCTTTTCTGGCCCAGTGGTTCTTCAGAAGATTTTCAAATGACCCCACCCAATTTTCACTATTTCTTAATAATCTCCTCTTGAAAGAGGGCATGGTCCTTCATTTGAATAAATTTGAATTCTCTTTACCCAATGATGCTTTGTGGCAAGTTTAGTTGAAATTGGCCCAGCAGTTCTGGAGAAGGTGAAAATGGGAAAAGTTTACAATGACAATGAGAACAGACAATAGAAAATATTGATCATAAAAAGCTCACTTTGAGCCTTTGGCTTAGGTGAGCTAAAAATATGTAGGATACTTAAATGAAATGCAATTTTTTCTATTATGAAGAGGTCCAGCTTTTACAAGTGTAATTTATTGCCTTATTCACATATTGCCATTTAGTGCTATGCATATATTTGCTAACCAAGTATTTTTGATTGTTAGGACTTTAGGAGAGAAGTGTACCTTAAACTCTTGGTTAGCAAAGATGGATACTCTAAATATTTTAAATGAAGATAAGCATAGTACAATTTCATTTTTAACACAAACTAGCATACTACACCTTTTTAACAAGACATAGATGTTCACTGAAAATATTGTACATGCACTACACAATCTAATGTTTATATGATTCAGTAGAAAAAAGCAGAAAGACAAGTAGACAATATCAATCATTCCTAATAAAGCATAGATTTTCCAGCACATTTTAATATGCATATACCCCTTATATTTTTGGTGATGTAACATTGAAAATGTAACATTTTCCATGACAAAAAAGAGATGATCATGTGTTTATTAGAGGTGTAACGATACAGCAATACATCAATTATATCACAATACGCGTATCGTATCGCCATGTATGTATCGTGATACAGTACAAGATAATTTTCATTGTTTTGTTTGAAACTTCTACATACAACCTAACAAATTTTAATGTTTTCCTATGGCTGAAAAAAAGGTAGCAAAGAAAAAATACAATGTAAAGACTATAAATCCACCTTGTATTAACTTTGGTCAGGGGTATCAAGATATTCTTTTTATATTTTCTATATCTGTGGAGGTTAGCAAAGAATATGTTAAAATAACGGTTAATTTAATTGTTGACAACTAGTGTATCATAATGTTGTATCGCATGACCATAACGTGATATGTATTGTATTGTTAGGTAGCTCGCGATACTCAGACCTAGTGATTATGAAATACAATTACACAAAAGAGTGGCTGAATTAAAATGCTGATATATGATAATAACCAGTATTTGTGCTAAGTCTAACCTTTTTATGTTTCTCTATTACAAAGTTTTGAATCAGACATGAATTTGCAATTTCTACTCCTGTGACATTAATTTGACTTTGTCCAACTGCATTATACTACACATCCCCTTGTCACAACCCTCCAATGAGTGAAGTATGAGCTACATGTAATGTTTCTTCATTAAAATGTTATGGAGTGGATTAAAAAAAACATTTATTTACCAATTCCTGAAATCTTGACTTGTCGAAGTGATGTTGGATCAGGATTAAGATATTACCTTCTTATAAGAGCTAATTTCTTCATTAGGCCAAACAAAAAAATATGCATGGTTCCGGTTACACTTCCAAAAGAATTAGGGTAGGTAGGTAGTAGGGGTGAAACGATACACCTCCTTCACGGTTCGATACGTATTGTATAATTTTGTCTCGGTTCGGTTATTTTCGATACGATACATTTTGATAGAAGGAAACAAATTCAACGTTGTTTTATGCTTTCTTTTTCCAAATCTAGTCACATATTTTACGAATTTTATTTGCAAATTGACTAGAAGAAATTGATTAAAATTATTTGACTGTCAAAAATTATTTTACAAGCTATCAGTCATCAAAAATTTACGTTTCCTATACTTATTTTAGTTATTTATACTGAGTAATGTGTTTTGCCTTATGCCAAACCCGACTGAATAACGATCCCGATCGAAAAATGAACCGAACCGAAAATTAGAGATTTTGCACCGTGTATCAAACCGAGAAAAAATACCGCGGTGAATCGATACCGCGGTGAACCGTTTCACTCCTAGTAGGTAGGTAGGGAAATTTTTTTTATTTTTATTTTTTTTTTTTAACAAAATGATTTTCTTAATTTTTCTAAATAATACCTATCACTGCTTTGCAAATGGCATTTAGATGTGGTGTGATAATATACTAGTCAATATTGGTAGGGGACATCTCAGGCTAGCTTGCTTTGAATTTAACACTATTAAACACTTGCACAATGTTTTGCAAGGAGGCCGTCATTGCTGAAACTAAAACTTAAACTTAAGCCATTGATGGAAATCGGGGGAAATTCCGGAAAAAATATGAAAATTGCCAAAAAAAAGTTTAGGGTCGAGAGTATAAAATAGGGAAGGTCGGGTAACCGGAACCACACATATTTTTTTATTTGGCCTTATACATAGTTATGGAACAGACAAGAATTCTTACACTTCAATCCCTCTCATCTTGTTTAAATGACCTTAGGTATGGTAAGACCAATTTTTTGTCCTTGGTACAACTATTACAAACATGTTCACTTCAGAAATTTATAAATGTACTCTATGAATCCTGTAACTCCAATTCTTCCTCGCACTTGCCTTAACTAGCTGAAGGATACCAGTATACATTGTATTTCATATTTATGTTTGAATTAGGATCCATCATCCCTCTGCTCAGTGATGATTTTCCAAATTAAACTACGAACAATCTTAGCAAACCTTGTGGGTCAAACTTTGACAGAAATGGCTTGTAAACTTGACTATTTCATAAAGGAACAATAGTAATTTATACCAATTAGAGTTATCTCTCTTATCAGAGTATCAATAAACCTTAACATAATTCAACTGTCGAAAGTAAACTATGAAATAGCTATAGCATAAATATAAAGAATTTATGCAATACAGATTTTTGCATTCCCAGATTTCATCGAGCATTGGTTAATCAGTTAGTAAGTTATTCATGACTTATGTTGCTAATAACAGCTGTTAAATGACAAATGCAAATGATTAAATGTGTTAAACATTCAATCACAAGAGTTAGCAGCACTAAGACATTGTTAAAACTCATGCATGGGTCCAACACAATGTTACAAACCTTAGCACATTAGGATGTCACTTCAGTTTCATTATCCAATGAAAATAGAGAACTTGATTTTCTTGCGATGAAATATACAAGGCCTAATGATGCCAGAGTGACAAAGATACCTGCACAAAGAATGCCCACCTAAAGGGTGGAGGCATGTATTAGTAAAACAAATATAATCCCTGTTAATTTCATGTACTTAAAACATGGAAATTTATGAACATAGGTAATTTAGACTTTAATCTGTGAAAATGTTTTTTTTTCATATATATTCATTTCTACCACCCAAAAACACTAGTTCTATTTTGTTTGTTTGTTTTGTTTGATTGTCTTTAGGGTCTCTCTCTAGAATTTTTCGCTCATATGGAGATGCCAACACTTACTGGTGGAGGGCTGCAAATTTAGACCTTTACTCAGCACCCAGGGCCACATGGGACCTCCGTTTATATGGTCTCATCCAAGGGATCGGTATCCACGTCCCACAGTGGGATTTGAATCCATTTTGTTCAAAATCCTACGAGTGAAATATAGTTAATCCCCTCCCCTTTTCCACAGATTTATGCAAATAATAATACACACAAATATCCATGTTTGCAGTAGATGACTACAAAAAATATGTACACATGATGGAATGAAATGAAAATCTGTTAATTGAAAGCAGTTTTCATTTTTGAAACACAGCAGAATGAATACAATGAAATCCAAATATCAAATCAATTCAACAAGAAAATTAAACTCTTCAATATTAGAATGATTTAATCAAATGAAAAATTGTGTAATTGTAACCTGAAATACATGCATAAAAAGAACAGAGAAAAATTGTCAAACCCAGTGCAAACATAATATAGTATATTCAAGAGCAAACATAATTAATCATTAAACTTCTTTGACACTCTTTTAAAAAAGAAAAAAATACTCTTTTAAAGATTTTTTAGTAGAATTAAAATCTTATAGAAATTAGAATTTTGAAGTTTCTTTATTATATACATGTGCAGTATATACGTATACATGTATGTATATAAATCTATTGGTAATCACAATGAACAAGCAAAATACTCTGTATTATAATTTTTTGGGTCAAGAATTAGAATACTATTAAAATCTGGAGTTATACCTTCATAATGAGATTGTATCATGTCAGTAGGCATGACTAATATCTAAATAAGATCTACATGTACTGGTTAGAAATTACTGATAAGAGGCCAGAGGAAGTGGTACGATAGAACAGTGAAATAAACATATATACCGTAGAATAAATGTTTTCTTGATGTTTGAGGAGGATTAGTTATAAACCTGTTTCCCAGCCTGGGAACCCAAGTTTGTTTAAGTGGCATAAATGTCAGCTAAAAAAAATTACACTGTATACCGGTATTCCTAATGGCTATTCATTAAAACCACAGAACACACACTTGTGCACATAAAAATTAATTAAGGCAGATAACTCTTACCTCCATAGCTTTACTTGGAATAAGAAAAATTCGTAGGAGAATAGCATTTGTTTTCCAGCTGGATTCTGTCCATGTTGAGTATTGAAAAGTGTTCCAGCCATGGTAATCTTAAAAATAAAAGCTTAAAGATTTGAAAAAATCTAAAAGTTTCACTCTGGACAACATAAAGAAGACATGAATTTACTGCTCATATATATTTTTACACTTTAAAGGTGCTTAGACACAGATTCAAAGTTAATATTTACTCAAATTTTCTGTATAATTTCATGACTTTTATGTTGCTATAGCATTTCATATGAAAATTTGATAAATATCTTATTTTATCTGGAAGTTATTAAAACTTCGAATTTCTGGACGCATTTGATAGACACATCCTTGCACTTTCACAAATTTTAACTTTATCCTTATTACTTTTGAAAAGTAGCAATTTTGTTGTTTATTAATGAAAAATATTAAAACTATAATGCAGAAATTTCAGAGTAGAAATGTAGAAAGCAAAATCCTTACACCAGTATTGTCAGTCCGTGGTCAGTGGTGTGTGCAGAGTTTAACAATTGAACACACCCGGTGAAACGTAAACATTATTAACAACAGAGCTCGTGCCCTGTTTTCAAAAACAGTTTACGTTTCACAGGTGTATTCAATTTGTTAAACTCTGTACACAACTACACAATACTGAGCACGGGCTGACAATACTTAGGTGAGTGGGTTTTGCTTTCACTCATTTTTACTCTGAATCTTCTGGATTATAGACGTAATATTATTCATTAATACACAACAAAATTGCTACTTTTCTTAAGTATTAAGGATAAAGTGAAAAATTGTGATAGTGCAAGGATGTGTTAATCAAACGCCTCCCGAAATTCGTAGTTTCAATAATTTCCAGATTAAATAAGTTTTTAATTTTATTTTCGTGTGAAATGCTATAGCTAACATATAAGGTGTGATTTTATACAGAAAATTTGAGAAAATATGAACTTCAAATCTGTGTCTATGCACCTTTAATAAAAAATAAATGAGTGTGCTTTCTGAAAACACATTTTACCTTGCTAATAAGAAAGGTGTGTAAAGTATCAATGGGCTTTGATTTGTTGCTAATGTCAAAACATGGCAAGGAAAATTTGAAATTAGCATGCACTTCATGTAAAGGGCAAAACATAAAAATATGGAAACAGAAAGTTTGTGAGCCACAAATGTAAACATAGATAATCAGAGATTATGAAGCTCACCTAGACAAATGTTATCTGTAAGTAAGGCAAATATTCATGCAAATTTTTGGTTTTGGTTTGACACATATTTACTAGAGAATGTACCTGCTCCACAAATTTAACTCATGTGGAAAAGGTAGGTCACATCCAGCATCCAAAGAAAGTCTGATAATGTCCATCCCTATCACCACACCTAGCACCATCCATGCAAGTTTTCTTAATTCATAACAGCTAAGCCATTTGATTTGGGGCACAGCTTCTTCAACCTGGTCACTCATTTAACAATAGGCCACATCGCTCACCTGAGCACACTGGCTAGGAAAAAGCACAAATCAGGTCAGTATTAAAAAGTTTAAAGGGGGGGTTGAATTTTAAACTACCTGAGGATGCTTCCATATCAATATAACAAATGGCTTTGCTGTTCTTGAGCAGCAGATTTTTTCCTATATTCCCTTGTTAAAAATTTGATCCCCCATTGTTAGTGGCCCCTCACTACCACCCTCACCCCCCAATCATTTGAACAAACTTGGATCTACACTACCTGAGGATGCTTCCATATCAATATGACTAAACATGACTTTTCTGTTCTTGAAAAGATTTTTCCTATATTTTCCTATGTAAAACTTTGATCCCCCATTGTGACCCCAACCTAACCCTGGGGGGTTATGATTTGAACAAACTTGAATCTAGACTACCTGAAGATGCTTCCATATCAATATGACAAAACATGGCTTTGCTGTTCTTGAGAAAAAGATTTTAAAAGTTTTTTCCTATATATTCCTATGTAAAACTTTTGATCCCCCATTGTGGCCCCACCCTACCCCTGGGGTTCAGGATGTGAACAAATTTGAATCTACACTACCTGAGAATGCTTCCATAGCAGTAAGACTAATCATGGCTTTGCTGTTCTTGAGAAGAAGATTTTTCGATTTTTTTCCCTATATATTCCTATGTAAAACTATGATCCCCCATTGTGGCCCCACACTACCCCCAGGGATAATGATTAGAACAAACTTGAATCTCCACTATCTGAGAATGCTTCCATATCAATATGACTTAACAAGGCTTTGCTGTTCTTGAGAACAAGATTTTTTAAGTTTTCTTCCTATATATTCCTATGTAAAACTTTGATCCCCCATTGTGACCCCACCCTACCCCAGGGGTCATCATTTGAACAAACTTGAATCTACACTACCTGAGGATGCTTCCATATAGATATGACCAATCATGGCTTTGCTGTTCTTGAGAAGATTTTGAAAGATTTTTCCTATATATTCCTATGTAAAACTTTGATCATCCATTATGGCCCCATCCTACCCCCTGGGGTCATGATTTTAACAAACTTGAATTTACACTACCTGAGGATGATTCCACATAAGTTTCATCTTTCCTGGCCCAGTGGTTCTTGAGAAGAAGATTTTTAAAAGATGCTATTTATTTTTCACTAATTTGAAATTATCTCCCCTTGGAAGAGGGCATGGCCCTTCATATGAACAAACTTGAATCCCCTTAACCCAAGGATACTTTGTAGAAAGTTTGGTTGAAATTGGCCCAGTGGTTCTTGAGAAGTCGAAAATGTGAAAAGTTTACAGACAGACAGCTAGACAGATGGACGCCAGACAAAATGTGATCAGAAAAGCTCACTTGAGCCTTGAGATGTGCTAAAAATGCAAGTTAGATCCAGCATTCTGAGAAAATTTTGTAGTGTGAATCCCTAGAAGCATATAATATCCCAGCAAGTTTGGTCCAGGTAGGGCTTATAGTTACTATATGGGAATGGATCTGCTCTAAATATTTTACCTTGCCAGTCTTGGTCTCTAATCTGAAAAATGTAGGTCAGATCCAGTATCCAAAGCAAGTCTAATACTGTCCATCCATAGATGCATCATCCATGCAAGAATGAACCAGGTAGGCCTAACAATAAGTCTGTGAGCCAATGCTCACTAGTAATACCCCTGCTCTGATTTGATTATATGCTCTCATGAATCCCACCATATGTCGTGCCTGAACAGAGTGTGTTAAAATTTCAAGCATCTGCCTTAAGTAGTTGCTGAGAAAACTGTGGCGAAAATTGGGTACGGACAGATGCACGCATAAACAGGAAGTTGACATCAGATTTATACAAAAATGAATCCTAACGCATGGCATGCCTAGACAAAGGTGTGCTAAAATTTCAAGCATCAGCATTGAATAATTGCTGAGAAAACTGCGACAAAAATTTGGAACAGACAGACGCACAGATAAACAGGAAGTTGACATCGGATTTGTACAAAAATGACTCCCACCATATGGCATGCCTAGACAAAGAGTGTGTTAAAATTACAAGCATCTGTGATGAGTAGTTGCAGAAAACTGCGACGAAAATTTGTTATGGACAGACACACAGACAGCTAGACACACAAGGATAAAACAGAATACCCCTTCTCCTTCAGAGTGGGGTTATAATAACTTATCTGGAAAATGTAGGTCAGATCCAGCATCAGAAGCAGGTCTGGTAGTGTACATCCCTTGATGCATCATCCATGCAAGTTTGGCCCAGCAATAGCTTATAGATACTTGGGAATGGACCAGCTCCAAAAAACTTTTCGTTATTTGATCTGGGAAATGTAGGTCTGATCCAGCATCCAAAGGAAATTTGGTAGTGTCCATCCCTAGATGCATCATCCATGCAAGTTTGGTCCAGGTAAGGCTTATAATAACTTGGGAATGGACCTGATCTTTAAACTTTAACCAGGACTCTGATGCTTTCACCAAGGAGTAGAGTATAAGCTCATCTTGACTTTGTCGAGGTGAGCTAAAAATATTTCTGCAGTGCAACTTTTATTCCAAAGAATAAGATTGATATACCGAATATCAAGAGCTTCTGCTTTAATTTGCATGCATTATACATAAGGGAAATACATGTTGGCAAACAGAAAGTAGGGAAATAAAACTTCTTTACTTAAGTAAGCTTCATCAAGAAAGCATGCTAGCATAGTAACTTTTTAACTTGCTTTCAATATCATGTTATACTACAGTGTTTGATATTCTTTCCCATTTCTCATTCTTACTTTTAGGTATATATAGCCATGGTTAATTTGATGTGGATGCCTAAACAAGAAATCAAGTCAGAGGATTAAGGAATGATGTGGATACTTCCTGCACTGGCATACAAGGGTATACTTGTCTATGTCACTGATGTTTTAATTATATTATTTAACATACCTGTGTCCTCAAAAGCTGGAGAATAGGCTTTGGTTTGAGTGACCCGGTTCTTTACACAGGTCACACTCCTGGTTCTGTTGTCTGGGTTAAGTGGTCCGGCCATCCACAAATAGTTATACAACTAGAAAAATATAAAACAGTCAATTTTCAATTTCACCTGTGTGAACACCTTTTCATTTTCACCTCTGTGAAAATTTCTGCAGTCTCACCTGTGTGGACACTTTTACAATTTCACCTGTGTTCTCATTTTTTTGTTATTCCACTTTTTCATGAAACACTGCTTTTCCTCAAAAAAAAAAAAAAAAAAAAAAAAAAAAAAAATCTGGTTTTCCCCCTGTACAGAACAAACTACTTTTCAGCAATTTTTTTCTTTGCTTATCCACAAGGTAGTGCTTCCTTTATCTAAGTAATACCTATTGCCCCCTGTTTGCCATGGGAAGGTGGAAGTAGGATTTTAAGCGGAAAAATCTTAAAAATGTAAAACACTGTTAATGGACCAAGCACTAGGTTAAAAACATAATTAAAACATGAAGTCCATCTAAAATGATAAGAAGAATTATCTAATCCTAAAATCTGAGCTGAAATTTTAAATTCAATGTATTTGATAAATTGACAACTGCTTCTCTGTTGGAAAGTTTTTGAAACTGCTGAAGCAAACAAGAAATGTTTTCTTGGTTTAGTTTTGAAAGGAAAGGCTCCATTTCAATTCAGCGCAACTATACATAATAGTGGAGGTTTGTATCTTCAGACTAACATTCCAAATTATGTAAATATTGGGATATGCAGAATAAAAAAAAACAAAACAGAATTTTAATTTTAAGTACAAGTATTCACATACTACTGTAGAAGTACTTTTTTCCATGTGCTATTAATTTATCTATGAATGTGATCACCTATTTTCCATGGAAATTTGTCCCAGCTTACTTACAGTACAATTAAGGCATATAGTGGCAATCTAAGAAATCCATGTAATTTTCTACCTGTGGATTGAACAGATATTGTGATTCTGCAGAATTGTGAACCCATGGAAAAAAGTATGTTTACAGTATCTGTGGTCATCAAAAAATCAAAGAAAAGACAAATCAAATAAAGGTAACCCTAAGGTGATTGATTCCAGGAAAAGCAATGTCAAATATTCACAGAAAAGCACATATGGGTTTTGAAAAAGTTGCCGAAAGCAGGACATGTTGACATTTTTTTTAATCTCACCTGTGTGGACACTTTTTCAATGCTTGTACATCCAGAGGTCTGGTTCACCTCTTTGTCCCCAATGTAATTGGTGAGGAGTCGCTGTATAAGTCTGGTCACATTGTTACTGCCACTACTGCTGTACACACTTACATAGAATGGGTAGGGAGACGTACGACTAACTGAAAATCAATGTTGAAAAGATCTCACTTAGAACATTATCCTGAAGTCTAATGTCAATGCTTACTTTTGTCCCACTTACTCATAGAAAAAAACTGTCATTAAAATTCTAATGGCAATAGTGATTTTCATCTCACTCTCTTTTGAAAATGTATATATTTTTAACTGGAAATATAATTTCTGCATACTGACCTAAATTATTAAAAGCTTCATTGGATGGTGGAATTATTTCCTTAAATAACTCACAGTTTGGACTGATGAGAAAACAATAGAGCATGTGTTGGACCTAAAAAAAGCAAGAATACCTGTAGTACACTGTAATGTAAATGTTTACTATTCAATCAACTTTTATTTGCAGGTATTTATAATAAATATTCATAAACTCCTTATCTTTACATGCATGTGACATGTTAATGAAGACAGCAAATTTCAATCTGACCTTTATTCTCAAAGTAAGACCTTGACCCTTAAAAAAAATCTCATTTCAATAGTTGTCTGTATAGAAATGGTTAAAAATGCCACCAGATAGACACACCAAAAATAAAATGCCGTTCTCAACAACATCTTTTAACTTTTTATATCACAAAATGATAATCATAATAATATTAAACATTATTATGCTTCCTGTCAGTTTGCCTCTATATAATCAATACCCAACTATTATTGCGTAGTGTTCAAAGGATTTATATAGCGTAAGCATACTATGCCGAAATAGTGCATGGCTTCTTTTTCTGAAGAAAATCTTCAGACGGCGCCCACGCCGGGGATCGAACTAACAACCCCGAGATTCTCAGTCTGACGCGCTACCGATTACGCCACAGACGCCGTTATCTAAAGCACTGCATTATAATAAATATAAACTTTGTTTCAAATATTTTACACTTAAAGAAAAAAATAAACAAAATAATTTTTCTTGCAAGTTTTTCCCCTTCACTCAACTAAAATTCTCTGAAACTATCTGTAAATGGAACATTCAAAATTAAAGAAAAAATTTTATGACGTACATGTAGCACAATGTGACGTCATAATAGGGGTGTACTAACATGAATGTAAGAGGTGACGAAACATTGGAAATGGAGAAAATTTGTCGTTTTAATAGAACAGTCAGCATAATAATAACAATAGTGTTGTACTTTGCATGCACTATGCCTAAATAGTAGTCAGGGTTTGACACATAGTGCACTTGCCTCCGGCCCGTGCAGCATGTGTCAAACCCTGACTACTATTTAGGCATAGTGCATGCAAAGTACAACACTATTATATAAGTAATATTCTGTGTTAGATGATGAGAGAAAGGTCTGTGATCTCCTTACACTTAATACATCAGCTGTTAGATTTTGAGGAGCAGGTGAGTTAGTGGCCAGTGTATACAAACTTCTGGCCACCAGTGTAGCGGCCTCGGTCAGATTTTTTGCCTGGTCAGTCACATGGTTATAACCACCATCTGACTGGTTGGTACCTGGAACCTCAGCATGGATGGTTCTGGCCAGATCAAGTCGACTGTTGTAGTACCTAGGTAAGAAAAATACACAATATTACATTTCTTTGCAATATGATACAGAAGCATCATTTCCACTTTAACTACAATTTCATCTACGGTACATCAATGTGGAGACTTCGTGATGTGAATCCATTTTTATAGGTAGCTGATATCATTAAAGAATCAATATTCTGGCTGATTATACACACTGTTTTTATCCAAATGTCACAGTTGTTATATATTTACATGTAATCTGAAAGTAATTGGCGCACTTTGCCAATCAAGCATGTTTGCTGTCACGCTGTGTTTGTTTTTGTTGTGTCCCTCATGTGAATGTTTTGAGGTCATGTGACATTGTTATTTTTGTATTGTCTACGTGTTTCCTGCTTAGACAATCTGACATGACCTTACTGTTGACAAATAAATGACATTTTTATCTTATTATTAAGAATGTTTTAATTTCTGCACCAAGTATATAAAGCCAAAACCCGGACAAGGCTAGGGGATAGAAAACACACAACTCCTTGGATAAGAATCATATCCAACCACAAACCATGGGAGATCCTATATATATATTTTATATTTCTTTCTTATTAATAGCATGATTTAACAGTGAACAATCAATGAATTATACATACATTTTACATATACATTTTACCTTCTTAAAATACATGTACCAGGGGTACTTACTTCTGTAGAGATGTTGAATTTTCATCTGCTTAATGGATTTGAGTGGATCCAGATTTTTCCCTCATCTCTAATTACATATAATGGCAGTTTTTCTTTAATTATTCCTACCTGTTTGTAAAAGCTCCCTTATGGTCTGTCAGAACAACAGCAGGAATTTTCTGCTTCTGGAGAAATTTCTGTGTAGAGGATGGTGGGAGGGGCCATGTTTGATTGGCATCTCCAACAGGGTCAGAAAGATTCTTCCCAATATCCAGAATAGATTGGATCATTTTGTCAATCTAGATAAAGATTGCTCTCCATCATAAAATATGAAGGATTAACATATGATAAATAAAGTAAAAGTTGTTTTATAAGGAATTCCTGCATTTAGTTTTTTTTTATTACCAAAGTTCCGTATAATTGTAATGAAAAAAAGTTACTGTATTGTACTGGCTTCTGAAGATAAACATTTCCTTAAAGTGTAAGTAAATGTACAGTATGATTTCAAAAATTATTTGTATTCAAAACCAATGGAATTTTAATTATTCCTTATAACTGAAAATTTCTTTGTTCCAATTTCACCTCTAAAATACATGTATCAGGGGTACTTACTTCTGTGGATATATTGGGCTCTCTTCTACTTATTGGATCAGAGTGGATCCAGATTTTTCCCTCATCTCTAAATGCTAGCTGGTTCACTTCCAGAATTTTATCTATGTGGTTCATCTTCAGATTCAGGGGTAGAGCATTGTTATCCATGTCGTAAATCATTCTGCTAGATCCTATGTAATCAAAGGCCTCCTGCACAACACAAGTTTATAAACTCTCTGAGAGTCAAACCTTTATGTAATTAAAACCACTGATGTGCATGTACTTAGAATAATAAGGTTTGAAATTGTAGAAAACATATAAAAACACATACTGTAAACCACCTTCTATTCGCGTGTGAGAAATATCCATGAGTTACGCGACCTACATTAACTCGCGAATATTAATCGCCACAAACCATTTATTTTGCTTTGTATTTGTAGCGAATGTTTCCTCAGTCACGAAAATTAATCGTTGCAGATTCATTTCAAACTGACGAATCATGAATAAAAGATGACGTGAATAATAGTTGGTTTACAGTAAGGAATTTTTGAAGTTAAATACAGCAAATTGCACAAGTGAGGATTTCACATCTGATTTACTTACACCATTTAAGAATGTGAAAAGAATATCCTTAGAATCATTTGTGAAGTGGTGTTTGACTTTTCCTATTGCTTCTGCAGCAGCCAGTAAGGCCACAATTCCACTGACATGATTGTCTGCACTAGGGTAAATATTCTCAAACAAACTGTACGAGTCCATCTAAACAAACATATAATTATCAGTCAATTTTAATGCATATATTTCAACTGAGCAACATTCAATGGAAGAACCAAATTATATATCAAACATAATGCTGCAGTTGTAAACAAGACATGTTAGATTACAACACACTAGAATGTACATATCTTTATGGTCTCATCTTTTCAGGCTATGAATGTAAACAAGTAAAGAAGATATCCATAATCCTGTGATTTTATCCATAATCCTGTGCCACCAACATATACACATGTATATGTGGATGTAAGGGTGAAAATACATGTATTATTAGCAAGATTTTGAGGCCTATAAATTAAAGCTTTCCTTTACTCAGTGAGTGACATTCAGCACAAGTATGAAACAACTGAAACACTCTGAAAGGACTCAGATAAACCAAGAAAACTCACCCTTGCCACAGCCATGATGATAGATTTACTACTTGGCTTGTATTGATCTGGAACATCTTTGAGAAATCCAATCACATTTTTATCACCGAGGGGGTCACAATATTTATCAGGGTTAAGATTTGTGGCTGTTCTTGTTCTTCTCATGCAGGTCTCCGAGTCTTTGGCTGCAGACATTCTGGATTTCATTTGCACTGCACATAGGGGGTATTCTCTGGGCACTCCCTGTATTGGCTCATTGAACTTAAGGTAGCACTGCCAAGTACATACATGTTGATAACAATTCAGCAAAACATACATATATTATCCAACATCTTCTCCAGTCAAGTGTTTCTGATCTGCTCAACTCCTCACAAACATGTACTAGTTAGTAACTTTGTGAGGAGTGGAGCAGTTCAAAAACCCTTGGCTAAAGAAGGTTACTAATATTTTCAATAAATCATAAGTAATGCATCAATGGAAAAAAAACAAAAAACAAAACTTACATTGTTAATGAGGTAGTCTGTTTCATTTTTATTTGATACAAGGGAAATTGGAAACTCAAAGTCCTCAAAAAACATTCCATTCCCAAACTCATTCCAAGTCACTTTCTTACAATTTCCAAAGTCTTTATCATTGTTATATAGACCTGAAAATAATGAAAACATGTAAATACATGAATTGGTATGGGTATTCAGATATACTTTCTAATATGAGTCAACAAAATTTATTATCTTGCAAATTTTTTGTTAAGTATATTGTACATGTACAAAACTTTTCTTGTCCAGACACCACTGGTTTCATAGAAATTGGCCATATTAAAGACAACATTATGGAAGACAAGTTTCGCTGTATATGTATTATATTTTTTGTGAAAACAATTATTCAGTCCAGAATAAACAGTTATTGATTTTTCTAAAACAATAATATGACATATTGAAATTGAATAGTGAATTCAAAACAATGTTAAAAAAATCTTCATTATAAGTAATTTATTATCTCTCACCGTATGAATTCCCTGGGCACTTGTCAGCAGGAGAGAAGTTGTCAGGGTGTGGTGCCCTTGCTGAAACAATAATGCCAGCAATTTTCTTGGAATTTCTCAGCTTCTGAACTGTATCGCTGCAGAAAACATAAATAATTTGTATGTCTTGGAGAGTACAGATATGGTTAAAAAATATTTATATATATATATATATATATATATATATATATATATATATATATATATATATATATATAAATGTTTAATATTACTTAAACAAAGTTTTGCACCTCACAATAAACAAGTATGTTAATTTTAAAATACATGTACAGCTGAGGAAGTCCACTGTTATCATGAACAAATTTCCAACTTATCCAGTTTCTCCTTTATTTATCCCTTACAAATTTAGGAACACATAATCCAACATAATGAATAAGAGTAAGAGTAGCTCATAATATTTTTGGATACAATTAATACATATATGTACAGATTAAGTAGCAATAAACTGGTTCTACTGATATGAATCTGTTTACCTGGTAAAATTTAAGGATGTGAGAAGTGCTATATAAGGCTGATGAGGTCCACTGTTTATCAGCCAATCAAGTGATGCTGTGTCGTTAACATAATGAAGCACACCAACATTTCCACTTATTTCAGCTGAAATTTATTCACAATCAATGAAAACAGATAAATGCATATTATGACATAAAATGTATTAATGTATTCAATTTGAAGTTTAGACATGAAAAATGAATCTGACTTACAACTACAACCAACTTGATGGGTTCCATTTAGTCGACGAATACAAGCTGCATTTCCTGAGACTATCACATAGGTTTTGCTACTAATTCTTTCACTCACACCTGACATATAAAAGTAATACATATACTTCAAAATAAGAATTTATTGGGGCAAGAAAGAAATGCATGAGAGAGCAATCTCCTACATGTCCATAGATATTCTAATAATCCACAGCACTTCAGAAACATTCAAATGTTTATATCAAAAATGTTTTTCCTTTAATAATAACATAACTACCACTTATGAGTGGAGAATACAACTTTTCCTTCAGCTTCATACAATTATGATGTCATAATCACCCAAATAATCCTTCCTTCAGACAAACAGTACTGTAAATGTTTCACAATAACTGTAGTAACTTAGGAAATGTATTTCAAAACATCCCAGGCTAATTGGAGAAAAATAATCCCTTCAAATACCTTCATTTATGTGCAGTTTCCATTATAATAGTTAATAAATATAAGTAAAGTACATATTTTTTGGAAGTACATGTAGGTGTGAACTTAAGACTACTCACACAGGTATTATTTTCATGAAGTGATAATTTGTTTCATGAAATATGCCTGTGGAAGAAGCCTAAATTCATACCCTTGTGATTATATACATTTCTTATGTAAATTCCTCCTATATCAAACAAATTATGTGCTGAAAACCTCTGGTTTTGATATAAAATCAGGTTAAGAACCACATGCAGAAGAAAATGTATGTAACGTTCCTATTTTAAACCTGTGACCAAAGCTAGAGCAGTGCTCTGTTCACTGATGTACATAGAATTGTACCTTTAATATGCCAGCAGATATTATAAATCAAATCTCAATACTGAAACATATGTCAAAATACTTTATGTGTCGTTTCACATTTCTCCGAGGTCTTTTCACTAGTACCTTAAGATAAGTGCTGGAAAATGACCAGTTCTGACTTTCACATTTATAAGAGTTACTTCCATTAGTAAAGTTAATCCTGATGTAGGCTACTGTTCTCCCACTATAACATTACCAACATCATGGGGTAATGTCTGACAAATAAATCCTTTATCTATACAGTCATACCTCATTATGTTCCAGAGCAAATTGTCTGGATTAATGAAGTGTCAGTATCACTGAACCATACTTAGTATTTATAAATATAAGTTGTTCCCCACAGTGTCTGTATTACTGAACCATACTTAGTATATATAAATATAAATTGTTCCCCACAAACTTCGTCTGGAAGGTGAAGTGTCCAGATTATAGGAGTCACGATTAAGAGGCTCCTCTGTATATTCATTATATTTTCTATACTGCTCCATACTTTGTCAAGTAAAAAAGCATTCGAAGGTTTAAAATATTAACAAATAAAATACAACTGATATAATTTCAATACCCTTTTTCCACCACCCCCACTTTTAATATCGACAGGATTAAATCCCCATATCCCAGGTGCCGAAAAGGTGTTCATTACATAGACGGTAACAGCAGAAACAAGTTTTTTTTACTTCAAAAGAAACAAAATAATAATAATGAAAATAAAACCAACAACCATACATTCTCTCATGAACCGATCAATATTTCACTGTATTTAATTAGTTTATAACATTGAAAATTGTCATTTGTTTATTTTTACAGCATTGAGTCATCTCTAAATATCTGCTAGAAAAAAAAAGGTACTGCAAAATTAATAACTTCTCTTCATGTTTCTTACTTACTCAAACTAATAAAAGCAATAAAATACACTAAAAAACATTCACAAAAACGATGATAATCATAATGTGTCATCTTCCTTCTTTCATTTCCCTATGTTGATTTAAGTGTCTGAATCCCGAACCCGATACAATTAAATTTAAATATGAAGTACATAAAATTATCCTTATTCATTCACTTGCAAGTTTATATAATGAATTTTTTAATTATGTTTGATTATAGCATTGAATTATTAATAAAAGAAGGGGTAAATAATTTAGCAATTAAAGAAAATGCTAAGACCGGATTTATATGATCAACAATTCAAGGTTTGTAATTTAGAGAGCATTGTGCATTTCCTGATGCATTTGATAATTTATTTTGCTTTCTCCCCATATTTTTGTTAAAATGCATTATAGATGACTTTGGATAAAAGTAAGTTCTTTTGATCAAATGAGCTACAACATTTTAAATATTTTGTCATATTTAAATGTTATTATATGGCTAAAATGAATGCACCCGTTCCTGGAAATCGTCTCAGAACTTTGTATTATCAACGACCTAAGATTCCGTTTTTTTGCTTCTTCCTTCTCCATATTAATTCTCTGTTGTTTAACTTTGACCACTTGAATTTTAAACAATTTATAATGACTTTGTTCTTGGTTATGATATTGAGGTATATTTCTGTAAAAAAAGACAACTGTTAAAATATACCAAAAAGGGGTTATTAAAATTACTTTTGAAAAATAATTATTATAAATCAAGTCGAAATGAGTACATCTTAATTTGAAAGGGGTGAAAGCATATTTTTAACTCTCATATTTTGCAAGCTGCATAATTTGCAATTCTTCATATATAGTGTAACTATAATATTGTCTAAACATAATATGTTTTATGGTGTGACCATTGGGGTGAGCGCAGTTGTACTATCAAAAACCTAAACGCAGCTTATACTTGTAACGTTGATCTACCTCTTCAAACTGCATGAAACACAGTCTAGACTGTGATGTCACATGACATCAAGATTTACGGAGACAGCCGAGTGTCTGGTTGAACGAGACTACAGGTCTTGTGCAATATTTATTGAAATACGTTGTAGAGTAGATGCAATTATTTTTTGTTTCTTTTAAGCTCTCTGTAAAGAAAAAGAAGTAAACATATCTCTTGGAAAGGAACAATTATCCTTGGTCTTTTGTTTTTTAATACTTTCACATGGAATCCTGGTAGCGAAGGAATTCTGTGAATATTGCACAAGAAAATTTGCCTGACAAATGTACAGATTTCTTTCCGAATTTCCTCTGTTCTTACATGTTAGTCTATTGAACTCGCTGCACTCACTATAATTATATATATATACATGTATAATAATATAATTATGAAATGTCTCTTCTTTCAGGGAAAGTTATAAATAATATACACAGCAAAACTCACCAATGCAAGGATAGGGTTTTTGTTTTGATCAGCTGTTCGTGCATTAAAAGATGGATTTAGATATAAGTCAATTTCTGCAGAGGCAAGATAATGAACTTAGCTACAATACAGACTTTATAAAAACAAACTGGAGTGGGCTTACTGAAAATGGAGATGAAGAATTGGGTGATTCATTTGGAAAGGAGGATGGATATTTATTTGAAGACATGGGTGATATTCTTGAAAATGCCAGATCAACATTTAAACACACGTCAGAATCAGAAACTGTAGATGTAGGGTCAGAGGATTCGAGTGAATGCATTGACATTGATTTAGACTTTCTTAGTAGATCACAGACAGTAACTGGTCTACAATCTTTCACTAATAACGTTGCCAAAGAAAACATTATACAGATTTCAGATGACAGTGAAACTGAAAGTGATTGCTATGTGACTGCATCACAACATGAACAAGTACCGAGCAGTGGCAATGTTTTAATTGACAAAAAGGCACCAGCACCAATAGAACAAAAGTCAAATGTTCAAATTTACTATCAACAAGATGAAAAAGGAAATGTAGGCATGTTTCTGTGTGTCCAAGATAAAGCTCTGGATGGAACTGCTAATCTTGGAACTGAATATGCTTCAAATAATTCAAGAAACATTGCTGTGGTTAAAAGTCAGAATGTCAGTGAAGCTATTCCTTGGTTAATTAACAGCAGTGACATGCTGGGACAAACTGTTGCTGAACCTATGACAACAAAATGTCTTATCAATGAGGGGGTTGTTAATCTGCATGAAAGCAGTCATCATTCACCTTCAGTTACTGAAAAAGAAGGCACTTCTGAATTGAATACAATTAATGGTGCAAAGAAGAAGAAGTTTCCCAAACTTTTTGGAGTTTTAACAGAGAAATGCCAATCCCCAATTGAACTTGCTAAAGCAAGTAAATCTGAATCTTTTAAAACAAGTTTTACTGTTCAAGCCCCACAGTCTGATAAATTTCCTGAACAACTTAATGATTTGTCAAAGCCAGAAGAGGTGGATGACAATTCTTGTATAATTGTTCAGTCAGCTGAGTTGGAATGTACAAATGAGAAGTCAGAAGAAACTTCCAAATCACCAAAGGAGTTGCCGAATGTGATTCAAATTTTATCAGAAAATGACCCATTAAATTCCGAAAGTGTTCAAACTGTCTTGGTTAAAAGCATTGTAACAGAAACCAAGGAGGCAAAGGAGATAAAGCCAAATAAAAGAAGAGTCAGTCAACGTGGTTTGAAGTCGCAGACTGTTAACCGAAATACTAAAAAACTCTTGAAGAAAAAAATCAAAAAGGAACTGGTGCAAATACTTCCCAAAGAACATTTTACAAATAAAATTGGATTTGTAAAAGACGAAATGGCTACCCCACTAAAAGACCCAGGTTTATCTGCCCCTAGGCTTCCTGTCGGTCTGTACAAAGACAAAAGTAACTCACAGGAGGAGGAAAAAGAGGATGCTGTAGACATTTCTAAACCCTGTAGCTGTAACATCTGTGGCAGGGTGTTTCTTAAATATTCTGACTTGGAAATGCATGTCCGTGGACATCTTGGAGATCGCCCATATCAATGCAACATGTGTGAACGAAATTTCAAACATAATTCAAACCTGCAGCGTCACATGAGATCTCACACAGGTGAAAAACCTTATCTCTGTACACTGTGTGAGAAATCATTCATTGATTGTACACAATTACGCAAGCATATACGTACTCACAGCAGTGAAAAAAGTGATTTCTGTAAAATTTGCAAGAAAGGATTTGTGTCAAAAACAAATCTAAAACAGCATATGTTGACACATCTTGATGACAGACCATTCAAATGTGAATTCTGCAATAAAGGGTTTAACAAAAATGCCAATCTCAAAGGCCATTTAAAAGTTCATCTTGGGTACAAACCATGGGTGTGTGATGTATGTGGGAAAGAATTTCCGGAGAAAAACCGCCTGAAAATGCATGAGAGAATTCACTGGGAGGACAAACCATATAAATGTGACCAGTGTGGTGCTCAATTTGCCCAAATCTCCAATTTGTATGTTCACCAAAGAAAGCACAAGGGAGATAAACCTTGGAAGTGTGGTCAATGTGGGAAATGTTTTATGATGAAGAGTCACCTGACACAACATGTTAAAAGACACACAGGGGAGAAACAATTCCAGTGTGCTGTTTGTTTGAAGGAGTACTACGGCCGGGGTGAGTTCAACAGACACATGAGAACCCACACAGGGGAGAAAAATCATGTATGTGAAATCTGTCAAGAGCGTTTTATCGACAGCGCAACACTTAAAATGCACAAACGGAAAGTTCATGAAAATGTTAGGTTCCACTGTAAATTCTGCAATAAAGAATTCCACTTTAAATCCAGTCTTAGGCGGCATGAGACAATCCACACTGGTTTAAAAAATCATTTCTGTAAGATTTGTAATGCTGGGTTTCTGTTTCAAGTAGAGCTAAGGGACCACATGAATAAACATATGGGATTTAAACCACATACCTGTGATGTGTGTGGTAAAAGTTTCTACAAAGTTTCTGAGCTCAACCAACACAAGAAGGTTCACACAGGAGAGGAGATGATCTATTGCGAGTGCTGTGACAAAACATTTAACTACAAACAGTCCTACACCAAGCACTGTCAATCAGAGAGGCATGCTCGAAATCTCAAAGGAGAAGGCAAAGAGGTGGCACCAGCTAAGAAGAAAGGCACATCTAAAAAGAGGACTATAAGCAGAGGGTCTGAGGTGGAGTCCACTGATGAAGATGGAGAAAATCTGTCAGGGGTAGATAATTCTGGAAATTCTATACAGACAACAGACATTGAGAAAAACACTATACCTTCAGATCAGATGTTAAACTATGAACTAGCTCAGTAGTATTTTAAAACGTGTGCATGCTCATGCTTTGGCTGTTTCCAGTGAATTACATGTACTTTTTAGGCTTGTCTGAATTGAAGGTTCAAGTGAGCTTTTCTGATCACCTGTTGTCCGTTTATTAACTTTTCACATTTTTGTCTTCTTCTCCAGAACCGCTCAACCACGCTTGCCACAAAGCATCTTTAGGTGAAGGAGATTAAAGATTATTCAAATGAAATTGTGACTCCATATTATGGCCCAACTACAACTCTAAGGGTCTCTGAATCCACACAACATGGTGATGATTCAATATCAATATGACTAGCATGGCCTTTTGGAAAAAATCTTTTGCTGTATACATGCATTGTGTAAAATGTGATCCTGATTTTAGCCAGCTCTAACCTGAGGTCCATAATTTGAAAAAAAGAAATATGAATTCACTCAACTTAGGAATGTAAAAAATGAATGGTTCTGTAATATGGTTTGGGCCATGGATATCGGCCTGGCTAGCTCAGTCAGTAGAGCACCTGACTAGTGATGCAGGGGTCCAGGGTTCGATTCCTAGTCCAGCCATACATTTTCTCCTTTCCTGTTACAGATTTGGTGCCATTGACCACCCCTGGACTTGCAGGTGAAAGTCCTGCCAGGGGCAAATAAAAACCTGGGTTGTGTCTTTGAGGGCAAAGACACTTTAAGGAGGGAGGACTATAATGGTTAGGGCCCTGGATATCGGCCTGGGTAGCTAAGTCGGTAGAGCACCTGACTATTGATGCAGGAGTCCCTGGTTCTATTCCCAGTCCAGTCTTTCCTGTTACAGTTCTATCACGGTTCTTGAGAAGATTTTCAAAAAATTATATGGTCACATGATAAACTTTTATCCCTCATTGTGGCCCCACTCTACCCCTTGGGGTTATTATTTGAATGATTTATAATCTACACTATGTATAGAAGGTTTCACATAAGTTTCATCTTTTCTGGTCCATTGGTTCTTGAAAAGATTTTAAAATTTTTTTCCCCCTATATATTAAATATTAAATTTGAATCTGCTAGTGGCCCTATCCTATCCCCCGGGGACAGGATTTAGAGTCTACATGTCTGGAAGCTTTCACATAAGTTTCAACTCTGTGGTCCAGTGATTCTTGAGAAGATTTTTTCACCTAAATATTTCATTGTAAAGCTTTAATCCCCTATTATGGCCCCACCATATCCATAGAGGCTATATGACTTAAACAATTTAGAATGTACACTGTCTCTTTCACATCAGTTTCATCTTTTCTGGCTTGGTGGTTCTTGAGATTTTAGTGACCCCACCCTATTTTTGTCTTTTTCTTGATTTTCTCATCTTAATTGTAATGGAGCTTAGCCCTGAATTTGAACAATTCAGAATCCCCTTCATCCAAGTATGCTTTGTGCCAACTTAGGTTAAAATTGAACCCGCCGTTCTTGAGAAGTTGAAAAATGTGAAAAGTTAAAAGACATGTGATTAAAGGTGAACATGATTTGTAAATGGAAGAGATCTATGTTTGCCATATTACTCTGCATTTTATTTTAGCTGTAAGGCCCCTGTATAAGCCATTCACTTGGTCAAAGTTCAGTGAAATCAGTTTTAACTGGTGTGGATGGATGTATGCTACATAGCTATTGTAAAAACTCTTGGTAATAATAAAAGTAGCTGTGCTTCTTCTACGGCAGAAGAGAAAGTTATCAAAGAAACTTACGTTAGTTGCACAGGTTAATGCAGTACGAACACAAATACACATAAACTGCAATAAAATGTGAACAAAGATAATGTAAGAAAACTGACATGAACAGGTGTCATCTATTCCACACAGGTACCAGTGACAAGAAATGAGATGTAAGGAATGTGAAGGGTATTCCCCAGTGCTGATTCTAGAGATAGGAAAACTAATATGGCATATGCCTATTTACAAATCATGTTCAGATTTAATGTGGAGGCTGACAGAAAGACAGATGGATGCCAGACAACAGGTGATCAGAAATGCTCACTGGAGCTTAATACAGCATAGGTGAGCTAAAACTTTTTTTTTTTTTTTTAAAACTTCTTGTGAAGAACAGCATGGTTATTGTAAGTCATATTTATAATTATGCAAGCATCCTCAGGTTGTGTAGGTTCAATAATGTTCATATGTTCAAATCATTGACTCTGGGGGTAGGACGGGGACATTTTTCTGAAAGAACAGCATGACCAAGTTGATTCATGTGAATGTTGTGGCCCATGGGCCTGTTGTTATTGTATTGTTATCAAAAATATCTTTCTAAAAAAACATTGTTTTATATATGTAATTCATATTATACATATTCAATATTTATGTTGTAAGTTTCTTATTTACCCTAAAAAAATCAAACATTAAATGTAGATGTATGTTGTATTATGTTTTGCAATTTACTGCATATAGAATATGCCTTTATGACACAAAATGTATCAATGTGAAATAAATGTATTACAAAACAATAGCCTGGATCATTTTTTCTAAAATTGAAACAAATAAACGCAAGATATATAGTAGGCTAATTATTTTTTTTTATCCCCCAATAATCAAAGATTCGGGGCATATAGTTTCTGCTTTGTCCATCTGTCTGACTAGCTGTCTGTTTGTCTTCAAAAACATTAACCTTGCCCATAACTTTTGATTGGTTGGAGCTTTGGCTTTCATATTTCACATGTGTATTCTTTGTGACAATACCTTTCTTTGGGTACCAATATATTTGACCTTGGAGTTTGACCCACTTTTGCAAAATTTTTACCAAACTTTATCCTTGGCCATAACTTTTGAATGGATGTTGTTAAGGCTTTCATACTTCACATGTGTATTCCTTGTGACAAGACCTTCCTTTGGGTACCAAGAATTTTGACCTTGGAGTTTGACCTACATTTGAAAAAACTTTAATCATGGTCATAACTTTTGAACACAGCTGGTGCAAGGGCTTTCATATTTCACATGTATATTCCTTAAGACAAGACCTTCCTTTGGGTACCAATAATTTTGACCTTGGAGTTTGACCTACATTTGAAAAACTTTAATCATGGTTGTAACATTTGAACAGTTGGTGCAAGGGCTTTCATATTTCACATGTATGTTCCTTGTGACAAGACCTTTCTTTGGGTACCAATATTTTTGACCTTGATCTTGGAGTTTGACCTACTTTTGGAAAACTTTAACCATGGTAGTAACTTTTGAACAGTTGGTGCTAAAGCTCTCATGTTTCACATGTGTATTCCTTCTGCCAATATTTTCCCTTGGGTATCAACAGTTTTTGACCTTGGAGTTTGACCTACTTTTGAAAAACTTTAACCTTGGTCTTAACTATCGAACAGTTGGTGCTAGGGCTTTCATATTTCAAATGTGTATTTCTTGTGGTATGTCCTTCCCTAAGGTACCAATAGTTTGACCTTTTATCCTTGACCTTGGAGTTTGACCTACCTTCGAAAAACTTTAACATTGGCCATAACTTTTGAATGGTTCATGCTAGGGCATTCATATTTCACATGTACATTTCTTGTGACAAGACCTTTCTTAGGGTACCAAAATTTTTGATCTCTTGACCTTGGAATTTGATTTGCATTTGAGAAACTTTAACCCTTGCCAAGAGCATTAGTGTTTCACAAACACATCTTTTTTATCAAACATACTTATGATGCACCTACATTTCTTATGATATGAACTTTGTTTCCAACTGACCCTCCATTTTGTTATGAAAGTGTCATATAAAGTGGTATATCAAATATGGAAGCTTGAAATACTTTGATCCTGACTGTGCCTTCCTCCCTCTCATGTGCCAAGTGTAGCAAATGATTTTATCTAATATTACATGTACATGTATAACCAAAAAAATGTCATTTCACTGATCTTCCGTTTAATATTGATCCAAAATTAACGCATTTTCCAATATATGATGATGGGTGAAAGATACTGAGCCAATACTTTGTGGTAGTACATGCACAGTTCATTCAAATGAAAGGAGTTGGTCAGTCTGAAAAAGCTGGCATTGCTGAGCTCTGTTCTTGTAATATACGACTTCGCTGTTTAAAAGCAGAACTGTTGAATGCTGCATTATCAGAGCATTTTTCTTGAACTTTCTTTTTCTACACAATATAAAACAGTCATTTCCATACAAAGTTTGATTTTATAAATAAAAACAAGTGCAGTTCATTGTCTACAAACATAGATATAAATGTATTGGCAGGTAAAGCATTATACTTTATACTTTACATATGCTTATGTTAACTCTGAAATAGTTATCGGCAAAACATGTTAATGCTTGAGTATAAAGAAAGCAAAATTACTGTAAACCACTGATCTTAAGAGTGTTACAGCTAGTATTCAATTGACAAAATATTCTGAAAATATTATGTTTACTTATTTCAAACATCTTTAAGACTTAAAACCAATAACTTGGTTTCCCCTCTTTACAAAGAAAAATAAAGGTAACCTGTACTTTAGTACAATATAAATAAACGACGATCATGTAAAATTGAACAATTATTCCAAGGTGGTCACATAATTGCTGTTACTGAGATTATAAACATCAATAATTATGCCTAATATTCAATCCATAAAGCACAGCCGATCAGCAAGTATATGGCACCCTGTAAAAGTCTCTCTTTTTAACAAGTTGATTACACGAGGTGGACAAATGCTGCGGACACCAGCAGAGCCAGGGCTAATACAAAGTATCCAGACTGGTATGTTGTCTTCAGGCTGAATCCAATGGCCCAATCCCAGGCCTGAAATAAAAAGTAATACATGTATACATTTTAGAAAAAGCATATTAATATTTTCTTTTCATGACACAAAAACTTCTCAATATTTCATGTATAGTTTTTTAAAGGTTTTTTTTTAATATTCCCCCCTTCCCCCGGCTTGGAAAAAGTATGTGTATGTGTCTGTGTGTGTGTGTGTGTGTGTGTGTGGAGGGGGGTATATACTGATGAAAGTGTCCATCCGTACGTCCATAGCACTTGGGGGTACCCATATCTTTAATTATCCGCAACTACTCCTATACCACTGAACAAAACTTAATGAGACTTTTACAGAATCTTTATTACATAGTGCCATTGTGCACTTCCTATTTTAAGTTTCCATCAGTTAGATATTTCTAGTTCCCGTGGCAAAAAATGGACTTTGCCATTATGCTCATATGGGAGGAGGGGTATCATTTTGTGAGTTCAGTGCTCACAATACCTCTAGTTTTCATTTATTTTTCTATCCAACAGCACGTTTTTTTCATATGTTAGGAGAAATTATTTAAAAGTTTTTAGGACATATCATATTAAATATTTGTCTCCAGAATTTTGTGAAAACAAAATTTTGCTGCAGTATGTCAGTTTTAAATAAAAGCAATGAAATACATAGATACATGTGTATTCATTTCATTTTGACTTTAGAAACCTCTACATACTGTACATCTATTTGTCATTTTACCAACAAAACCCCCAAAAAGCAAAAAAACCCAAAACAACAAATTAAAAACTTCATTAGTCTCTGATGAGACTGTAGCTCTCCTTGTTAGTCTCTGGCAATTTTTTTTTCATTATGCATTTACAAATGAAAATATTCTATCTGCTGAATGCACAGTTAAATGACACCTACTAGAATCTTCATTATAGGATGTATACTTACAAGATGTCTGATGCCATTTATGTAATGATAACAGACAGGGAAAGCTAACACATATTTAGCTGCTGTAATGAGCAGTGGATTAATCTGTAGGTCCTTTATATATTGGATATATGAAGGGAAATCCCCAGGTAGACCTAAGAGAGTGGCAGCCACTACTGGTACAGCTGAAATATACAAGAAAAACCACATAATCACATGCTGCACTGAAAAAACAAAAACAAATTACAGTCAAACCTCATTATCTCAAACTTGATGGAACTGAGAAAAAAACAAGATGTGTTTGTGAAACATTGATGCCCCCGTATGGCAACCTATAGCAAAGGTTTAAGTTTCTCAAATGCAAATCATATATGTTATTACCCAAAGTAAGGTTTTGTCTCAAGGAATATACCTGTGAAATATGAAAGCCCTAGCAGCAACCATTAAATAGATATGGAAAGGGTTAAAGTTTTTTCAAAAGTATGTCAAACATCAAGGTCAAGGTCAAATGGTCAAAATTAATGGTGCCCAAGGAAAGGCCTTCTCCCAAGAAATACACAAGTGAAATATGAAAGCCGAAGCACCAATCATTCAAAAGTTATGACCAAGGTTAAAGTTTTTTCAAAAGTAGGTCAAACTCCAAGGTAAAGGTCAAAAGGTCAAAGTTGTTGGTATCCAAAGTAAGGTCTTGTCACAAGGATTACATATATTAAGTATGTAAGCCGTAGCACCAACCGTTCAAAAGTTATGACCAAGGTTAAAGTTTTCCAAAAGTAGGTCAAATGTCAAGGTCAAAAGGTCAAAGTTGTTGGTATCCAAAGTAAGGTCTTGTCACAAGGATTACATATGTAAAGTACGAAAGCCCTAGCACCAACCGTTCCCATGTTATGGTCAATGTTAAAGTTTTTCAAATGTACGTCAAACTCCTAGGTCAAGGTCAAAGGGTCAAAGTTGTTGGTATCCAAAGAAAGGTGTTGTCACAAGGATTGCACATGTGAAGTATGAAAGCCCTAGCACGAACTGTTAAAAAGTTATGGCCAAGGTTAAAGTTGGTTAAAATTTTGTAAAACTGGGTCAAACTCCAAGGTCAAGGTCAAAAGGTCAAATTTGATGGTACCCAAAGAAAGGTCTTGTCACAAGAAATACACATGTAAAATATGAAAGCCATAGCTCCAACCAATCAAAAGTTATGGGCAATGTTAAAGTTTTTGCGGACAACAGACAGACAGACAGACAGACGGACGGACAGGGCAAAAACAATACACCCCCAAATCTTCGATACGGGGGCATAAAAATTTGAGATATCCAAGGATTCCAGATATTGAGGGTAAAAGACTTCAAGAATAAGTGGTTGGGACTTTCAAATCACTTTGACATATCCATGGTGTTCGAGATATATTGGTGTTTGAGATACTGAAGATCAACTTTATAGTGATTTACCTGTATTAGGTCATTAACATTACAAAGCTATCTAATTCCTAAATTGGATGCTTTTTCATGCTACTACAGAAAAATTGTATGAGAATTTTTGTTTGTATTTTTTATATGTATCATTCTTTCAGAAGTTTTAACAGCAACAAAACTCTTCAGTCACCCTAGTACATACATCATCTGCAAACACAGTGCAAGTAACTAATTCATATTAACCTGTGTATCTATACTTACTGACTGCCATTGCTATCCCTGTAGCTCTGTGACATAGTGACAACATGGAGGTCAGCTCTGGACTACAAGATGGACACAAAGCATTCAAGAAGTTAACAAATAGTCCATATCTGATCTTATAGAGATATTCATGTGTCTCTGATGGTCTTATAAATAAGACAATAACACATTTGATAAACTTGAATTGACAGTAGCAGTGCATGAGGAGGCTTTCATGTTAAATTGATGAAAGTACTGTACCTTTGCTGTCCTTTAAAAGATGAATCATAAAAACATTGCTTTACATTCCTGGCATAATATTCTGGACCTCTATGGTCACTTTTGTTGTTGCAAACTAGCCCCAGGACCCCATGGTTAAAATTTGCACTGACTTAAACTACATGTATTTTTACCATTTGGAAAGAAATAAATACATAAACTTTTATTTAATAAGTTGTCTAACATGTATTTTCCCTATCAATCCAATTAAAATCAGAACTTTTCATCTACTATAAAAAGATCACATTACAAAGATGCAACATTGTCCTGAATTCTACAGATAAAGCAGGAAAAAAAATATGCAAGAATGTATGAAAAATTCGAAATACCACATGTACCATAGGATGACAAGCAGAAAAGGACAAACTTGAATCAGAAAAGCTTTCAAGACAGAGTTTAAGCTGAGCCACACCAATAAGCACAGAATTACCAGGTGTTACTTACTTGTAGATTCTAAGATGAGGTGAGAGTGGTCGGTTAAGACGTCGATTTTTCTCCCAGAATTCCTCCATTTCCTTGTAAGCAATGTCCTGTGTCTGGGCCTTGGTGCTGGTGAAGGACATCTGGGTGACTACTGGCTGCAGTCTATATAAACAACCTAGACCTTACTAATAACACTATAACTATCCCTGCTGGGGGACAATAAAAACATGGTGATATTGACAAGAGCATGCATAGGTCCATTGTGTGTCATTTGTGATAGCTGAAAATTAAATTTTGCTTATTTCATTGTTTAAAGGGATTAAGTGACCTATTAAAGCAGTGGCTTCAACTTGCCGGTAGCCTGAATCAATTAACATAAAATATAGGTCATCTGGAGCAAGAATGTTACTAAGAATCCATAGGTTTACCATATCTGCAATGAAGTTTGGTTTGGATACCCCTTGAGATTAAGCTGGAAATGACCTAAAAACTAGACCCATCCTTGTGTTTACAAACATACAAGCAAATGAACATGTTGAATTAACCTTCTCCCCCACTTCATTGCAGAAAGAAGGAGGAATGAATCAATTTTTTAAAAAGCAAGAAAGGATATACAATTTTTCAAAATTTCCTTTATTTCAGTTCAGAATTGTCACTAGGCCTACATGAAAACTTGTCTCTATTATCTTGCAGTTTGGTAGTTAATCACTTTCTTGGTTGCATGGAAGATTTTTTTTTCTTGAATATCATGAGAGAAGGACACAAGTATTTTTAATGTCAAACAAAAAAAAAAGCATTACAATTATCATAGAGCTTGTAATTGATAACTTACCTTGACAGAAAAGCAGCATTATTGCTCAATAGGGTGGCACCCTTCCCAAAACTGCAAGAAAAATTGACATATATATCCCCGTGATATGTACAGTAAGCATTTCTATCCATAAAATATACACTGAAAATTTCTTGAGTCTGTACTTGGAGACATATTTGAACAATTTTTTTTTCTTTCATAAAATCACCTTTAAAGACATACTGAGCAAATCAATACAATAAAATGGGTATTTTCTGTGGTTGGAAATTTTTGCATTTTGACCCCCCGAAAGGTAGCAAATTAAATTCTGTGTTTTTAATATCTGGGGTTGCAATATACCACTGAAATTTCATCCCCCCTCCAATGCCAAATACGATGAATGATGATTTAAATTTGATTAGCAAGAACTCGTACCAGTATTTATCATTTATTAGATACTTTTCATATGACATATCTTAAGGTGAAAACCTTTTTCTATGAAACCTTCCCAAAATTTCCCTTGTTACCAGGACTCTATGTGATAATGGTGAATAAACAGTCCCCCAGTTATCATGTATTAAGATTTAGTTCACTTCTGCAGAGAGCTTATTAAATGAAACAAAAAATAATTGCATCTACTCTACAATGCTTTGCGTTAAAAATTGCAAAAGGCCTATTTGAACTCTTAACGGCCGGAAATGCAACTTGCATACATCATGTGACGCAGGAGTCCAGTCTGTCTCTTGCAGTTTGAATAGACATATCAAAGTTTAAAGTGAAAGTTATGTAAATGTTTTTTTAATGGTACAACTGCACTTGCCCCATTGGTGGCACTGTAAAACATATTAACTTTCTGTTGAAAATATTTAATCAAAAAGTATCCAGCAACTTTGCTTTCATCATCACTAAGTCAGGGGTCCTGTGTCAACTCATTGCCATGTGACCCTGACAAATTTCATTGGGTGTTTATTTGGGCTTGCTTCTCTCATTGAGAAGCACCTATAAAATTGATGTAGGCCGATAATGTAATCAGAAAGGAAACAGTTGCGTTATGCATTGTTTATCACTGAAAGGGGCTTAATGTGATGGGTTGAGATATAAGAAAAACAATCAAGATTTGTAATTTTTCTGAAAGATGTCACTACCGTCGGCCCTTAAGAAATCGAATGAAAATTGTCACTGCACCACGTTGACACAGGACCCCTGACACTGTGAGAATCAGGGATGGGGTAATGGTAATGTGTAATGGTAATTGACAGTAATTAATTACAAATTTCAATGTAATTTAAAGTAATGTGTAATTGGCCTAATTTTCAATTACATGTAATTGTAATTTAATCAATTACTTTCGAGAAAAGCATGTAATTCACAATTTCAATTACATTCAATTACACTGGTGTTTAATAAATGAGAAATACACCCCCCCCCCTTTCAAATCCCATGCACTTTATGATTTCTTGGAAAAAATAGTCTATATAATAATAAATTTAAAAAAATTTTTTTTTTATATATTTCCTTTTTTTAGTGAATTGCTGTTTTCTATTTAAAATGCATTTTCTTCAAAACTTTTTAATCATATTTATCTCCCTGTTTATAATGTACAAATAAAATTAATAATTTTGATTAAGTTGTTTATGAATTGGCACTTAATACATCTAGTCCAATGGCTTCTAATCCTTTGTTTGCCATATCTACAGCTTGTTTTCGAAGTGATTAACAGGTGCTAATTAGTGCCCTAGGGTCATGTACATATTGACACTGAACTTAAGTAGAGATTTTACACTCATTTTGACTTTACCTAATGGTAGTTATGTACATACACATTGACTATGTCTTCCCACAAATCTTTTTAAAGTATACATTCTTTGTGTTATAACACCAATTTTTCTATTTTGATAAAAATTGTGGAAATTAAGACAATAGTTTGACACAGTGTATCACATACTAACATTCTGAGATTTATAGCTTAATTAGGATGATGAAAAAAAAAACAGGAAACAAGGCAAAACGCATCCATTGTTTTGCATAAATATATCAGAAAGCTAAAAAACGGACACATGAATTAAGGGAAAACAGCATCCAATTCCTGTAAAAGGATTGTGTGCCAGTTGAAAATTGACTCTATATATATAGTATATATAGTATATATGTATTTCCCAAAATTTAGGTAACAATTCACAACTGATGACCAAAATTCAATTTTTTGATGCTGTTTATATATAGAAATAACATGTTTTGAAATTATAATGATTTTTAAAGAACAAGTCCACTATTTAATAACTCTTTAATCAACAAATAAATATGTCAACAACATTCCCCGATTTTGCCACTTTTTCAGTTAAAAATTCACAATTAAAAGGGTACAGGACCCTGTACCAAAAAGGGCCAATTAATCCCTGAAACTTGCTATTAGTCAGTATATATGTATTCCCGTCACAAATGCACCAGTGTAAAATATCTTCATTGTGGCAGAATTTTTTTTTTTTAGACCTGATAGATGCATGTAGGTTAGGGGATGCAATATTCAAAAATTTCATTAACATCTAAACAATGTTTACTTAATATTTAAAAAAAAAAAAGGAACTGAATCTATATGAATATAAATGAACATTCATGACTATTTATCACTGTTTATTTTTATACGTTTATTCTTAATGTAATTTGTAATTTAATTAATTACATTTCAAAATCCTTGTAATGGTAATGGTAATTTAATTGAAGGTTTTGGGCAAGTAATTGTAATTTATTTAATTACTTTCCTATGTAATTGACCCAATCCCTGGTGAGAATACTTTGCTTGTATCATTTGACTCTACATATTATTGAGTTTATAGCACATTACTTTCTATAAGTACAGTCAAACCTTATTATCTCAATCTGGATGCGAGAGAGAAGAGTTACTTGAGGATTCGAGATATCAGTAGTAAACTACTCAAAGAGTACGTGGCTTGAACTTCCAAATTACTTCAACATATCCATGGTATTCGAGATATCAAAGTTCAACTGTATTTCTATAATGGATTTACAAGGAAATTTTTTTAGCGAATATACGACATCAAATATTTTCCTTGTGTTAAAAATTCAAAAACAAACGTTCACACTTATTAATAATTTTATTCCTAATATACATCTTTTACGCAGTATCAAGTACTTTGTTAACACTGCCGATATCATAGCTCAGAGTTAAGTAACAAGGTCAATCACAAATTTATATTGACAGTTTAATGAAAGTGTCTTGACAAATACGAAACAGAATCAGTGACTAGTTATGCCTATTTGATAAGAGTCTATTAAAGTTTCAAAAGCACAAATGACGATCATGATGAAGAGAATAATACATTTACCCTCACTAAATATACTAACCCTCGAAGCATAGTGGCCATTTTTCGTTTTTTGACGGAAACACTACAAACCCAAAAGTATGCAAATGATCCGAAAGGTAACAAATGGATGACTAAAGCGGCAAGAAACACACCGACTCATACAGACAAACCCAAAATAACAAAACCAAACAAACATAAATAGAGTATACGTCCCTGATGCTGTGATATCACTTATGAATAAATTAAAACATATGCATATGAAAATGTTTGACACCTACATGTACTATAATGGGATCGTTGGAATCATGCAATATTATTCAATGATTTTTTTTATATGCTACAACTGTATAGAACTCTTTCTTCCTCTCCCGCTCCCCCCTCCCTTCCCTCCTCCCCTCTCCCTCAAATAAAAATTACACCGTCTGTAGTATTTTTTTTTTTTTTTTTACAGAATATCTATATATATAAATGCTAGAAAAAAAAATAATTTAGCCAAATTAAAATTAACACGTTCGAATATAAAACAAACAAATTCTTATTATAGATGGTGGCATGTTTAAGTTTAACTCATGTCGAATCCATCAGGTTTTTATTCATCAGGTTTACACCTCTGAAGAGGTAAAATTCTTGAAAAAAAATAATTTCAGTAAAAGTCAAGTTACAACTGGAAATGAATTTAAAATATTTAAGAAAACACTTATAAGCAGAATATTTATTCCGTAAATTTTTTACCAAAAGCCAAACGGTAGTAAAATTAACAAAAGGCTCAAACAGAGACACAAAACATAACACCAAACAATAGGCCTATGGGCCACATCACCCGAGCACTTTGGTTAGCGGAAAGCAAGATTTATTTCAGTTCAGCATTGAGAAGTTTAAATTATTAGTGGATAAACTTGAATCTATACTAACTGAGGATGCTTCCATATTTCTTTGACTAGTCATGCTTATCAATTTTAAAAAGATTTTTTCCCTCAGTATACATATTTCTTTGTAAAAGTTTGATCTTCTATTGTGCTCCCCCCCCCCCCATCATGATTTGAACAAACTTAAATCTACACTACCTGATGTTTCTCCTGTATTAATATGACTTATCATGGCTTCGCTGCTCTTGAGAAGAAGATTTTTTAAATCTACATATTCCTTGTTTCCTACGTATGATATCGATCTCGTTTGGTGGCCCCACCCTATCCAAGACGGGGATCCTAAACAAACTCAAATTGAACATGCTGAATCTACACTGAAATGTAGCTTTCACATAAATTTTCATCCTTTCTAGCCCATTGGTTCTTGAGAAGGAGATTTTAAAAAGATTGCCATTAAATTTTCACTAATTATAAATTATCTACCCTTAAAAAGAGTACCTCTCCTTCGTGTGAACTAGCCTAGCTGGTTCCCTGGCTCATCCTTGCCAAGGCAGTGCCGCAGAGTACACGGAGCAGAACAAGGACAGCTAGGGAACCAGGATACGTGTGAACAAGCTTAATCTCCTTTACACAGTGGTTCTGGAGAAAAAGTCGAAAATGTGAAAAGTTTACAGACAACACATAACACACGTTACTCGATAGATGGGCAGACGGAAAGAACACTCTAGGCTCTGATGAGCTACAGGCCCGTAGGAGGCAATTTCAGTGGGGGGGGGGGGGCACAACCATACATTTTTAGTTGAGGAGGCACTATCAACTACCAAAAATTTCTTGACAAGCAAAAAAAAAAGAAAAAAAAAGAAAAAAAAAGGTCATCAGACGTTTTTATTGAGGGGGCACAAGCATATAGTTTCTATGTTTTCTATAGTACTCTATATATCGGCAAAATTATTGGGGGGGGGGCACGCCCCCCCCGTGCCCCCCCCCCGGTTCCTACGGCCATGAGCTAAAAGCAGATCATTCATAGATCTCATATACATATGATTATCTTTATCACAATATTTTGTGTTTAGATAATATAAAATAATAAATTTTAACAATTTTTAAATAAATATTTGAAAATAATCATCAGGTCAATTTGTTACACCCATCAGGTCTTTATACAATGCCGTGAATAGTCCCACAGTTAGATAGATAAATCACAAGAAGTTCCGATAAATTTAAATGGTCCAAATTAACTCAAATACTAGTATACGGATAAAGAGCACAAAATAGTAATAAACAAAATAAAAGTGTAAATTTCCATACTAAATTTCCTTTAAAAAAGCTTAAAAAAAATAAAACGTTTGTAGATCATAAAATTTCATGGAGGTATATAAGAAAAGTTTATAGTAATTTCCTGGTTGTCCCACATTTCCAAATAAGTACGTTTATTGGTATTTAGTCCAATTTGGGGAAAAGACCGCCAGAAAACAAAAATATTCTGTAATTTCATAGGAAAAAAGAGAGCACAGGATAAGCATTAACGTGACAGTGTAAAAGTAATAATATATCTTTCTTTTTTTTCGCTTAAACCAATCAATTTACAATTTTAAAGATATTTTTGGTTAAATATTACTGAATTAAGTAGCAGTTGTGCTCATCTGTCAACATGGTCAAGGGCCCTAGTGTCAATATCATTTATTAGGGCTTAATGACCCGTTTGGGTACAGGGTCCTATACCCCCTTTGGTTGGGAATTTTAAATCAAAAAGGGGTAAAATATGAATCATTATAAATATCATGTTTTGTTCATATCTCTAAACTACGGTTGATAAGCTTTAATAAATATGCCTGTAGACTCTTGGCATATTTACATGTAGATACATATTGACAAAATATATCCGTAATACAATTAATATTATTATTTTACAGATTCAAAAGAAGTAAATAAAGCCTGAAATATGTCTACTGATCAAATTTCCTACTCTGAGAAGTACAATGATGAGAAGTATGAGTACAGGTAATCAGCCATGATTTCTAATTTAAGATTTTAAATTCACTCTGTATATATACCATTGGATAAGGTCATAGTAAGTAAGTTCTAATCATTTTATAATCACTATCAGTGTGGAGACTATTAGTTCAATCAAATTTATGGTACATTTTATATCGTTTAATTTACATATGCAAACTGTTATGTTAAAAATGGTCATAAATTCCAGTTATTTGCTTCATTGGCAAGTCTTTGAATAGAATGTACTTTTTAACTGAAATTAATATTGTAGGCATGTTATCCTTCCAAGTGACATTGCTAAGCTGGTCCCGAAGAATCACTTGATGACAGAGACAGAATGGAGAAACCTAGGGGTGCAGCAATCTCCAGGGTGGATCCATTACATGGTGCATACACCAGGTAAAACTAATCAGTAAACAACCTGAAAAAAGCGAAGGTAACTAGTAGAGCATGGCAAAGTAAATATTCAAGTTTTAGGACAAAAGAAGTATTTAAAGAAAAAAAAACAAGGAAAACTAGAGGCTCATGGGCCACAATGTTCACCCAGGGTGGCCCTGCTGCTCTTCAGAAAAAAAAAAGATTTTCCTCCTTAATTTTGTTTCCAGTTGATGATCCCTTCCTATCTCAAGGGGTCATGACCTAATTACACTTGAATCCAAACAACATGGGGATGCTAAAGTTTCAATATGATAAACATGGCATTGCTGTTTGGGTGATTTTTTTTTTAACAAATTTGTTTTCCAATATGCATTCATTATTTAAACTCTGATCCCCTTTTGTGACCCCAACCCACCACATGGGGGCCATGATTTTAAAATGAAATGTAAACTGCCAGGAAGCTTTAAAGTTTCATTTTCTTTAGCCCAGTGGTTTTTGAAAAGATTCTCAAATGACCCACCTATATTTTTAATTTCTTGATTATCTCCCAGTGGACTGAAATGGAGTATGGTCCTTCATTTGAAGAATTTTGAATTCACTTCACCCAAGAATGCTTTTTGTCAAATTTGGTTGAAATTGACCTGGTATTTGAAGAGAAAAAGTTTAAAAAAAAAAAAAAAAGTGCCAAATTTACAGACGGATAGATACTGGACAATGGATGACCAAATAGACTCAATTAAATTTAAAGTTAAGGTGAACAAAAGAGAGAAAGAAGAAATATGGTTAAATAGTAGTGTTGTACCGATAATCAGAAAACATCGATTGTCGACGAAAAAATACTACCGATTCCGATGATTGATTATAATTTTTCATAATCGATCATCGGAAATATACTTCTAATACACAACATTTCCGTAATTATCCATTTCTGGTTTAAAATTTATTTCTTCTTAATGAAAGAAAATGGCATCTGCATCTGATACTAGCCAACTAGCACAAAGCAGAGGTGATTAAGAACCGAAAGGTGCATATATAGGGCCTAAAAAAATTATGTTTGTTTCCTGTAACCCGACCGACCCATTCAATTTACCCTTGGATGGATTTTTTTTCTGCCAGATCTGTGTTTGCTCTTTGGTTTGATCAATCAACTGATTCTTTTTATTCAAAAAATATTAATTGTATCTTTTATCTGAGATATAAAACATGCAATTTAGTCAACATTTACCCTAAATATAAAGAGTAATCAATTCCCCCCACAACATTTTGAAGTTCATTTTCTGCCGCTAAGCAGCCATGTGGATGTCCACTGTAAATGTAACATCTGGATAATTCAGTCCTGGGATGTCTGACCCCATTATTCATAAGCAAAAAAAAAAAAAGTTCCAGACCTACCTACCCTTGATTTTTTGGGAATGTTACAGGAAACAAACATAATTTCTTTTTTAGGCCTAGAAAGTGTAAAAGAAGCAAAACAACAAAGAAAATAATAAATTATATATTTTATATATTCATGTTAAAGAAATAATGTGAAATAATTGTAATAGTCTGCTTTTTGTATACAAAACTATGAAATCCGATCATAATCGGTAAAATTGCATCGGAAGCAGTAACCGATTCCAACCGATGATCGATTATGAAAATTAACCGATGTCCCATCACTATTAAATAGGACTAGGTGGGTGAAATATACTTTAATTATGTAGTAATTTAAAATATTTTACATGTTTTTTATTTTAATGTTTTGCATATTTTTTTCATGTAGATGGGTACTTGACTGCATTTAAAACTAAACTCTTTCATTGGTAATCACAGTCGATAAGGTATCAACGGCTATACTATGACGTGGTTATAACGCAAAGCATGCTCTTGTCAGGCTTTTTAAGAACCCTTAAATCATGCAACAAACCTATCAGGTGTTACAAGGAAAATTTATTTATTAGCAACACAATTATTGAATGATAATCAGAAAATTTATTAATTAGCAACACCTATTATAATTAATGAATTGTTAATAAGATTTGTGCAATTTATTTTTAGAACCTCATATCCTACTGTTCAGGAGACCATTACCACAGACTACCCCACACCCAGCAGCCATGGCAACCAAAGTCAAGTAGGACCTGCCATTGAAGCAAAGATCTGTGATTCCAAGCTATTTGTTCTGTATTACTTTCAATATTATTTTACATTGCAAATAGTGGTATTTAGTGTATACAACTAGTGCTGTTTTATTTTTTTGTTGTTTTTGTATTGTCTTGAAGGATATTTCCAGCAAAGATTATCTGAAGGGGTGAAACTGCTAATTATTTTTTTTATTGATGGGGAGGAGACATCTTCATAATGTTAAGAATTTGATATCGTTCCTGTACACAAATCCTTGACAAAAGTCGCTATTTAAAAGTCAGATTATAAAGCTACTATTTCATTTGTTCCCAGTTTTAGACTGGGAACTAATCAGAAAAAGGCTTTAATTGAGGATAAAACTATGTATACAAAAAATGAAAGATGACAGTGTTGAATTTCTGACCAATTACCTCAAATAAAATATCAGAGATTAATTTTTACAGATCTTTCACCTCACAATCACAATTAAAAGAGGTGCTGAGCTATGAGCCATTAGAAAATGATGAATTGTTGAATATGTATGTCATTTGTGTATTAATACACTGAACAAAATTTTTCAAAAAACAAGATTTCGATCTTGAAAATAAATAGCACCAAATGAAAAATTAAAAAAGCCAACTTTTGTGCATTTAAACTTTTTTTTTGTAATCTGAATGCCAATTTCATGCTCTTACCAAACCTTTCTTAGAAAGAGATATTCTCACTGGTTGGTTTATTATAAATTATTTACAATGTACATCATGTGTAGCTACAAAACCAAAATTTTTCAAGGGTTTGTGTAAAGGAATGATATCATAAATCCTTAAAATTGTGAAGATGGGGAGGAGGTTGATGACATGTGGGGGTCTTGTGAAGTTTTGATCTTCAGGGAATGTTAGTATATAGCATTTTTAATTTAAAATGAGCATAGAAATTAACAATCATTAAAACTCTTCAGCTTACTAGAATTTCTTCCACCATAGATCTGGAGGACCTAATGGTCCCAAAAATGTATTTTTAACTTATTAAATTTTCATTTATTGGCAATGGGTTTTTTTTTTAGCTCACCTGAGCCGAACGCTCATGTGAGCTTTTCCGATCACATTTTGTCGGGCGTCCATCCATCTGTCTGTAAACTTGTCACATTTTCGACTTCTTCTCAGGAACCACTGGGTCAATTTCAACCAAACTTGCCTTAAAGTATCCTTGGGAGGGGATTCAAGTTTAATCAAATGAAGGGCCATGCCCTCTTCCAAGGGGATAATTACAAATTAGTGAAAAATTAATAGCATCTTTTAAAAATCTTCTCAAGAACAACTGGGCCAGGAAAGATGAAACTCATGTGGAATCATCCTCAGGTAGTGCAGATTCAATTTTTTTTCAAATGATGACCCTCAGGGGTAGGGTGGCCCACCGTGGGAACGAAATGGACAATCAAAGTTTACATAGGAATATGTAGGAAAAATCTTTAAAAATCTTCTTCTCAAGAACAACATTGTCATGATTGGTTATATTTATATGGAAGCATCCTCCATGTCCTCAGGTAGTGTAGATTCAGATTTTTTCAAATCATGACTCCATGGGGTAGGGTGGGGCCACAAAGGACAATCAAAGTTTTACATAGGAATACATGTATATAGGAAAAATCTTGTTCTCAAGAAAGACAAAGCCATGATTAGTGATATTTATATGGAAGCATCCTCAGGTAGTGTAGATTCAAGTTTGGTCAAATCATGACCCCAGGGATAGGGTGGGGCCACCATGGAGAGCAAAGTTTTTCATAGGAGTATTTAGGAAAAATCTTGTTCTCAAGAACAGCAAAGCCATGATTGGTTATATTTATAAGGAAGCATATTCAGGTTGTGTAGATTCACATTTGTTCAAGTCATGACCCCCTGGGGGTAGGGTGGGACTACAGTGAAGGTTCAAACTGAGAGAAAAAAAGACACAGTTAGTCAAAGAAATATGTAAGCATCCTTAGTTAGTGTAGGTTCAATTTTGTTCAAATCCCCCCCCCCCCCCCCCCCCTTTACGGGTAGGTTGGGACCACTTAAGCTTTTCAATGTTGAACTGATTTTTGCTTTTTTCCTAGCCACAGTGCTCAGGTGAGCAATGTGGCCCATGGGCCTCCTGTTACATTTATATTTGAATATGTCAATTTAGCGTGTAATATAAATAATTTAAATATTCTTGAATATCATATAATTGTGGTAAATGACTGAAGAATTTTGTTTTTTGGTAATAGAGTTTACAGAGTTAAGAATTTGGTTCTTATTGATTTTGGGATTCTATTTTTTTTTTTTTTTTTTTTTTCGTTTACTATTAATGGGGATTGGGTGTTTCACTCCTTTGGGTGATTTTTACTGGAATGTCCCTATAGTTGATTTTATGAATACTTTTATGTGAAAGTATCAGAAATACTTTTGGAAATTTACAGAGGTATTTTGTTTCAGTTGGTTGTTATTACAATTTTACATGGTCAGTGTTTCATATTATGGCAATTCAGTAAGGCTTTTACTGGCATTTTTAGTGTTAATTTTAACATGGAAAGGCTTCAATTTTTTTTTTTAATTTTGTTGTGGAATCTCATATAAACATGTTTAAGCCTTTTTTCACTGTTCATTGCAAATCTAATCATCACTTTAATTCATCCATCCCAAAACCTACAGTTAGAAGACAAAGCTAAAATTTGTCAATATACTCTTTGTTTATGTGCATTAATATCTTTGTCAAATCGTAAATGACAAAAAAAAAATGTTATTTGTTACACAGATGTACAATGTACTTGTTTTTATTAACTTCAGTTTTTAAAATAAGAAGTCTTGTGTTTTTTTGTTTTTATTTTCCCATTTTTTAAGAAAAAAAGATATTGATGTATACCATATCTGCTGGGTAAAAAAAAGAAAACATGGCTCTGAATATAAAACTGTATGTTCACTATGTTGGAGACCTTTCAATAATACAAGATTTTTTTGCCAGTGTTAATTATCGTTGGATGTTTTAAATTATCATTGGTCAGTAAAATGAACAAACATACAAATGTGTTGTAGACCTTCTCACAAAATATATTATGACCATGACAAAAATTTTCAAATTCTTTTAAAAGAATCCAGGGTATGGTAAGTCACAAAAAAAAACATATTTCTATTGCACTAAAATGTATTGTAAATATTTACAAAAACAATGATTTTTTTAAACAAAAAATTGCAGAGTTGTAAAATTCTAATCTTAGTTGTAAGATTTTCTGTGAAAAGGCCTACAGTTTCACGATGTCTAGCTTTAATGATTTACAAGGAAGCACTTGTAAATACAGTATATTCGTATACATGTACTTAGTGTAACTTAATTTTCATAAGAATAAAGTTCTTATAAATTAGATAATTAACAGTTGTTTTAATTGCCATGCTTCACAACAAATGCTTCTTAACAAGAAGGGTGGAAATCTCCTTTACTTAATTTGCTCTTTTTAATGACTTGTATTAAGTTAATTCCTGTCAAATCCTAGAATTTTTACATCTGAACTACGTCTTTTATTAGGACCTTGAGTCACCCAGGCGATCTATTGCTATCTGTTTTCGTTCATCATAGTGCAATAACATTTGAACATTTTCAGCTTCTCTGAAACCACTCAACCAATTTCAACCAATTTTGGCATATAGCATCTATGGGTGAAGGGGAACAAAATTGTTAATTTCATGGTCCCTGCCCCCCTGGGGCCTGAAGGGATTGGGCTAAAAACCACCAAAATTAAATCGATCTTTAAAAATCTTATTCTTTACTCCTGGCTCCGAAATCATAAACTGAGAATAGACTTAAGTCAAGATTTCAAATCAATATAATTTTAAAAATAACTTTGATAATGAAACAATTTTTTTCCATGTGTATGGATTTTTATAATATACATACCAGCAAAGTTTCATGCACATTAGTTAATTAGAACTCAATATATTTAAAATCAAAATTTTGACTTAAGTCTGTTCTCAGTTTATGGTCTTGAGGCCTGGACATTAAGCAGTCAAACTGTTGGCATGATTGTAATGAGCATTGAACCCTCTACTTAAAATTTTGAAATTCATGGTCCCAGAATCAGTGGTTCTGGTGCTAGGGCAGGGCACTGTTCAATACATAGTGAAAATCCATTATTTCTTTTAAAAAAAAAATCCTTCCCTGACCCTGGTATTAAGCAAAGAAAGTAAATGTATAGTTATGATGAGGAAGGGTGCGTCTTCCAAAAATTGTTAATTTCATGGCCCTTAGGTCAAGTGTTCTGGTGGTACTGCGGAGCTGTAATAATTTGACAATTTCTATTGTGTCGTTGTTAGTGCTTAATATGTGCATATATATATATATATATATATATATATATATATATATATATATATATATATATATATATATATATATATATATATATATATATATATATATATATATATATACACTAAACAAGTGTTCATTGTCCATGCATTTATATATCTTGCATTCATTATCATCCCAGTAAGACTTAGGACAACCAAGTATGATCCCAAGGAGATCACTTGGGTCTTGTATGTAACAATAAGCAAGGGTATTTTTACCAGATTTTGAAATTCTCAGCAACATTGCTTCGTCTATCAGTTAATTTTGTTTTATACTTCTATGGATCCTCTACAATATTGTATTTCACGCAGGTGACCGTTAAAGCCCTTGGGCCTCTTGTATATTTATTCTTAATTGATCATTGATAATTCTAACATTTTTGTTGCACTCCGGACAAAGAGCAACTTTAAAGTAGCTGCAGAACTGTAGCGTTATGGTTTTATATTTTAGTCTGACCATAGCGCTACAGAACCCATAATACAAATAGGGTGCAATTTACGGCGCAAGATTTTCTGCGCACTTTGGGGATGTATCTCGCCACTTTCCAGCACATTTCATTCCCTAAATCTAGACATATTCTATAACCAACCACCTCCTAACCCTTTAAGTCGTCTCTACAGACCAATAAACTCGCTTGTTGTGAATTTGTTGTCGGATGGCATAAAATTCATAACAAGCGAGTTTATTGGTCTACTGAGACTAGAAAGGGTTAGGAGATGGATAAAATGTACATACTGGTTATATAATATGTCTAGAATTAGGGAATGAAAGGTAGTTGACTGACCAATGCTGGAAAGTGGCGAAATACATCCCCAAAGTGCGCATAAATGTGTATGCATTGACTCTCATTAATAAAACTACATATCACATTTTAAATTTTTAGATGGTATATCAGTTATTGTTAGTTCTTTTTTTGACTCGATTGTTGTAACAGCTTAAAGTTGCCTATAACCTTATTTTGATGGTCCAGAACTGTAAATTTCGTAAATTTATGTAGTAAATCACACCTGAACGCGCGGCTCAAAAAAAAAATGTACAAGAAGAACATACATACATATCACAAACTTATTAAACATCTAATGATGAAAATAATTTATAATACACTTTTACAACTTCAATGCAATGATTAATTCTAAACCTATTACTTCAAAAGTCAGAATCACCAGCGCAGCCAAACTACTCTTAATTGTTTTTTAAAATATCAATCACAATAACTCTTTTCTTTAAATCTTTTTATTATTTTCAATCACAATCTGTATACAAGTACGAGTATTACACGAAATCCATGCACGGCGCTACACCCGTCAATCAAAATTGTGAACTTCGTCTGGTGCCACGGAAGCATATCCCATTTGATTTCTTTTGGTCAGTTCTTATTTTACGCCTTTAAAGATGATATTTTGGAACAAAGTTGGAGGACCCGTTCTTACATGTATATTAAATAATGATTCAGAGAGTACATGTGAGACAAGTCTTGATTGAGATTTTCCTTTTTCTTCAGGAGAATATGATTAATAAAATAAACTTTGCATCTGATAGATACCTGTACCACATATAAATGTATATACGTTTTTCTTTGTAACAAGAATCTGTAATTGAAAGTTAAGAGTTTAGATAATAGATCTTGACAAATGACCATTCTTTCCTAGTCACCATGTAGTTTTAAATTACGATTGCCCGCCTCCCCTTTCAATGGTGTCTTATGCATCCCCCCTTTTTGTCTATGCTTATGTACATTTATCATTTCTGTTTGGTTGTGGCCCTGTAACGACGAAAAGTGACCCCCGTAGAATATTGACCGGGGATCATTTGGCTATGTAGAAATTTGACCCCCTGGTCAACGTCAACGTAGAAAAATGACCCACTTTTTTGTAGAAATTATGGCCTTGGGTCATTTTTTTTCTCCATGTGGATTGTAGAAAAATGACCCTGTAAAATAATGACCCTGTATCATTTTTTGATACAAAAAAAAAACAAAAACAAACAAACAAAAAAACAAAACAAAAACAAAAAAAAAAAACTGCATGGTTTTGGTAGGAAAATTATTGTCAGGCATATACATATGGGTTAAATAACGCAGCCTTATACAGCTGTTATAATATGAAGTGTTCATTTCTAAAAGCTTTTAAGTTTAAAGTTATAATATGAAGTGTTAATTTCTAAAAGCTTTAAAGTTTAAATGACAAAATTAAAAGGTTATACTATATTTCACATTTATAATACAAGATGTTTATTCCCATTAAAGGAAAACCTAACAAGGCTATAATAATGTTCTATCACTATTAGAGCAAGAATACATATACGTACATTCTTTAAATTTTTTTTTTATCACATTTAATAAAACTGATAATATTCCACAATTGTAATTATTTTAAAAATCAAGATCATTTTCTTAGCTGGTGTAAGAAAGAGAGACATGTAAATAAAAAATGTATAGGTTCGATAATTGTAATCCTCTTTGATTTCAATTTGGGAATAATAATAAAGAATGTGCAACAAATAAAAATATAGTCTTCTTTTTTTCTTTAGAACTTATAAGAAAGGTTAACGTTTTGGAACCCTACCCAAATAAATTTGAGTGAAAAAAAATTGGAAGATTGATAAGAAAATTCGATCTCGTAAATATCTTTGATTTTCTATGAATAAAGTCTCAAACTTCTCATAAAAGTATAGGGAGGATTACATTTGTGAAAAAATAAAACACAGAACTAAAACAATATGCCTCTGACCTTCGATATCAGGGGCACAAAAAGGGATTAGCTCAAAATTTTTACCAATGTCTTTTGTCGTTTGTTAGTGTCAACAAAGTCTTTAACAAAATGAGGCTTTTACCTAAAAAAGAGGTGTTTGGTTAGGTATGCCAACAATTGACACAAGTTTATATCGGATGTTTCATAATGTATGTCACATTTTTAAATCTAAATATTTTTCCTACCTTTCATATTTTTAACACAAACCACATATAATTTTAGACATCAAATCCTGCATTTTTATTCCATGTGAAAAAGTCAAGGAAATCATAGTATATTATGATGATTAATTGTGACATCAACGCCAATGTCATAATTTGAATATTTTTTCGAAATGAACTAACCTTTAAAACATTTGCTGAATTGTAAAGCTGTTTTGTTTTGTTTTTCAATATAAATCGCAAAGGAAATATTCCAAAAGGATGGGAGCTTTCTTGAATGCTAGACAGAAGGCTAGTTACAAAGTTAAAGGACAAGGACTTGCAATATGTGTTAAATCAAACGATAACCCCCCCCCTCCCCCCAAAAAAAACCAAACAAACAAACAAACAAAAAAAAAACAAAACAAAACAAAACAAAACAAAACGAACAAACAAAAAACTAAGGACTCCAAGAACAGAAGATTTATTGTTGACTCTATAAAGTTTAGCAAACTCCTCAGAAAAGTGTCAGGAAGATGTCTTGAGAAATTGATGCTGGCAATATCAGCATTTACAGAGTACATTGAACTTTGAAATAAGAAGTGTTCAATGTATAAGTTCCCAATAATGCAACACCCCAAGGAAAGACCTTGACCCCTGCATTCGCCAGATCTCAATCTTTATGCCTTTTTCTTTGGAAGGTCTAAAATCCTAAACCACAGATACTGAATGAGCTCAAAAAGAACATATCTAACTTCAGATGAGGAATGTCTGAACAAAAATGTGTGACAACTTTTTTTAAAAAAATCAAGACGTTCTCTTGCAGTTCAAATAGGTGGAGATCATTCTGATTATGTTAATTAATTGAGTTTTGACGTTGTGAAATTCAACGTAACAAAAATAACACAATTTAGAGTTAGCTAATTTTCATTAAAGTTTGAGTTCTCGGCCAGAGTTTAACATTTTAGTTGGAAATTGTACATAATGAATCTAATGGATACATGTAACAAATGATGTAAACAGTTGTCTGTATCTTTTTCTTCTGTTTGTCAATTTTTAGATTCAAAATGTAACATATATTATGAAACACCCTGTACACGGTAGTATTGTCTCTCCCCTTTCTAGTTACATG